TGTCGTTTTTAACTCGTTTAAAATCTTGCTTGGCGTTGACTTGTATTGACAGAACCTTCAAACACGTGGTATCTACAGAACGTGTGAAGTGCAATTAACAAGTTTTGCTTGAAAAAGTTTGTGTTTGGTTTGGTTTTTGTTGCAAAACTAGGGCTAAGAAGATGGCGGATGAAGAGCATATTCGGCACTGCATGCTTTACGAGTTCCAATTAGGAAGAAAAGCAAGTGAGGCTGCAAAAAACATCTGTAGTGCTCTTGGTCAAGATGCAGTTAGCGCCAGAAAATGCCAGCATTGGTTTGAGAAATTTCGCGAGGGAAATTTTTCGTTAGATGACAAGAGTGATCAAGGCCGTGTGTCCAATTTTGATCAAGAAGCTCTTCAAGCTCTTTTGGTGCAAAATCCTCAAATTACCCAAGAGCTTGCGACAACTTTAAATTGTTCACAAAAAACAATTTCCAATCAATTGCGTGCACTTGGCAAAGTCCAAAAGTTTGGAAAATGGGTTCCTCATGAGTTGACCGACAACAACCGTAATCAAAGAGTCACAATTTGCAGTTCGCTCCTCTCTCGTCAAAAACCGTTTGCCGTTTTTAGAGCAAATTGTTACCGGAGATGAAGAATGGGTGCTGTATGTTAATTTGAAAAGGCGGCCTCAATGGTTGGACAAAAATGAGGCTCCGCAGCCCACGCCAAAACCTGACTTGCATGCGAAAAAAGTGATGTTGTGTGTTTGGTGGAATTTTAAAGGAATTCTTCATTATGAACTTTTACCATCTAACCAAACCATTACAAGTGCAGTGTATAGTGCCCAATTGGAAAGGTTAGCCCAAGCTTTAAGAGAAAAAGAACCCGCGCTGATTAATCGGAAGGGCGTAATTCTTCACCACGATAACGCACGACCGCATACTGCAAGAATCACTGCTGAAAAACTGCGCCAGTTGGAATGGGAAGTTCTCCCTCAACCTGCATATTCTCCTGATATTGCCCCTTCCGATTACCATTTGTTTCGTTCTTTGCAAAACTTTCTTCTTGGAAAAAAATTTAATAATGAAGAATGCCTCAAAAATGCATTGACCGAATTTTTTGCATCAAAATCACAAGAATTTTACAACAGAGGGATTAAAATGCTTCCTGAGCGTTGGGCACAAGTAGTAAAAAACAACGGCAACTATATTGTTGATTAAATTTTGTTGTATTGAGCCGAGACCGGTTTGGCTCAATGGATAGAGTGTCGGCTTGGGGACTGAAGGGTCCCGGGTTCGATTCCGGTCAAGGGCACGTACCTTGGTTGCGGGCATACCCCCAGTAGGGGGTGTGCAAGAGGCAGCTGATCGATGACTCTCTCTCATCGATGTTTCGAACTCTCTATCTTAGGGGTGTCGAACTCAATCAGAGAAGGGGCCAAAATCTAAAATCCAGCCTAAATCGCGGGCCGAATGGTTTACTGAACAGTCATAAACTGTCATTGTGATGGAAACGCAGCGGAGTGCAGTGATGACAGCGCGGTGCGGGCCACATTGCAAGGCCTGGCGGGACGGATTTGGCCCTCGGGCCTTGTGTTTGACACATGTGCTCTATCTCTCTCCCTTCCTCTCTGTACAAAATCAATAAAAATATATTTTTTTTTTAAATAAATAAATAAATAAATTTTGTTGTATTGTTTAAATAAATTCGATTTAAAAAAGTATTAGAAAACGACATTAATTATTACTAGACCTAATACCACACATTCACCACCTTTCTAGTCATATTCCTCCTCCTCCTCTTCTTTCTTATTTAAAGGTCAGAATCCTCGCTGTGACCAGTATGAATATTACACTAAAATAATAAATAATCCAATAACACCGTTTTCCTGCTTACAACACTCCATGGCACATCCTCCTCCAGGACCAGGTCCAGCATCCAAGCGGGATGCACAGCCTCCACAAGCAGACCGAAGCTGCCGCCGTCTCCTCTCACTCCCTCCTCCGACTCAGACTGTGACCAGGCACAGAACAGCTCCCTCCTCCTCCCCACAGCGTCCTCTCCCGCAGACCTCGTCCCATCCCTGGACCACATTACTCAAGTTCTTTAAGATCAACACAGGTGGCACCTTTCTCCAGTGCCACACACACACACACACCAAATCGAGATGCGGTGTGGCTCCCGGGTGGTTAGCAGTGCATTGTCTGACTACCAGCACAGGCATCCAGTGAGGGCCAATACCTTGAACTTCCTCACTGGCCAGGAGGCAAGGATTGGTGCCTCTGAATATTTTATAGTGCTTGGCACTTAACTGGTATCTCATCCTTGTTTGCCGTACAACCAGGTGTCCAGTGCCCAGGAATAGCACGGAACAAACAGTGAAATGAGCCATCTACGGGCTTCCGAGCATTTACAGTAAGACTCTGTCATCCTTCGCTTTAAGGCACATAAATCTGGAAGAAAAACACAGCCTTTGGATGGCTTGTTCCCAAGCATTACTCAGCTCGTAACCACGATCTCATCTCCCCGCTGCCTCGGAGCTGCCACCACGTTATGTTGGAAATGGAAACATATGGAGATGGATAAATTACAATACGTCAACGAAACGTGTGGAACATCTGAAGACAGGGGTAAGATGTACACATTATGTCATTATGTAAAAGAGATTAACAGAAATATTACTGTACTGTGAATTTTGTAAAAATGTGGATGTGATTACTTTCTACAATAAATCCATTATTTTTGTGAAAATAAACATTTTAAATATAATAAAAGCCTAATATGCAAATCAACCAAACGGCAGAATGACCGGTCACTATGACGTGCACTGACCACCAGGGTGCAGACACCCAACGTAGGAGCTGCCCAAAGCCCACAGGACTGCCAAGGCAGGTGCCGGCGGGAGTGCCCCCACCCCCATCACCCCTCTGGTCTCCCCGCATGGGTGGTGGCAGCGAGAAATGGGGCGGTGTGCGGGCAGCACCAGACTGGCCAAAGCAGGTGCCACCAGCTGCCCCCCATCACCCTGCCAGTGGCCCACAGATGGACCCTGATTGCCTATGCATGAATTTCGTGCATCGGGCCTCTAGTTTTAAATATAAAATTTTATGTTACCGAACCAGGGAGGAATGCTTACATAAATGCTTAAACAGGAAGTCTGAGGAGCCACAAGGCTCATGTGCCAGGGGAGTGCTGGCAGTGAGGGAGCTGCTGGAAAGGCAGGAAGGAGACCCTGGATGAGGAAGGCCTGTCAGGCAGCTGAGCGGAGCCTGGCTTTGGGAGGGGACAGTCCCCGTTCCACATCACATGAGGCCAGTGCTGCTTTTCAAACCCAGACATGTCCTTTCTCTGCGACGGCAGCAGGCAGATCAGCAAGTGGTCTCGTACCCTGCACTGGCTAGCTCAGCAGGCTCCAGACCACTGGGCACCTAGCAGGCTCACCGGGACGGCAGACGCTGAGCGCAGGGGTTCTCCCCTGGCATGCACGCACCTCACCACGTGTCCCGATGGCTGCCTCTCTCTCACCAGTTCCAACAGCTTGGTATCGGTACTTGCATTCGCACAATGGCCTGGAGAGGAAGGCTGCCCGGATCTGGGAGACTAGCTATGACACAGGCCTGATGGGGAGATGGTGAGTGAAGGTACAGTGCTGGGCCTGCCAGCTGAAGGCATCTAATTCTGATGGTCTTTACTAGTAAGAAGAGAGGGAAACGCATGTGCCAGATCAATGCCAGCTCACCAAGTGCCAGATCACCATGTGCCATATCAATGCCTGCTCAAAGTGCCAGGGGCCACACTGACTTGCTCTCACAGCAACCACAGCCGAGCACTCACCACAATGGAGGCCAACACCGGGTTAAGTCTATACAAGCAATCACCGTCCTCTGAGAGCCACCCGTCTTGACTGCCCGACAGGTGAGCTGAGGGGCTGTGGTGGGAATTGCCACTGTAGCATCGTTCCCCCCCAATGCGGCTCTGCACCCTCCTGGGGGAACAATTCCCACGTGGTGGGTGGGCCACATTCTAGTGGCTTTACTGGGCTTTCTCGCTCTCCCAGTCAGGGACCCACGGAGAGAACTCTAGTAGGTGTTAGGTAAGTCTATTCCAATCCCGCATTCCAAAAACACGGAAGTAAGCCCCTCCCGCCCACTGGGAGATGGACCTCAGGAAACTCCATTGACTGATGGCAACAGTGGTGTTGGGTCCCCTGAACCCTCAGACCTGGCAGACCCAGCAATCGCTAAGAAGTCTAGTAACTGTCCCTGCCCGATGCCCGGGCACTAGCAGACGCCGAGCGTCTTGGGAAAGGCGAGGAGGAGGTGCCCGCAGACACTGGCTTGTACAGCTGGGTCCTTCCTCAAGAGGACCTGGCTTTCCCTTCACTCCAGCTCTCTGGGTCCAGGAACTGGCGTGAGCCCACGGATGGCTGGGGGGCTCTAACCCTGATATCTGCTGACACTGCAGTAGCTACACCTAATTAGTCTTCAGCAATTAAGAGCCGCCTGCCTCTGCCACTGACTTCTACCACTCCCACCGCCTTTAGGATCCTGGTTTGATGGCACCATTTCTGTCATCACCACCTTAAAGACAACAGCCACCAGAGCCCCCAAGGACGCTGAGGCTCCCCTCATGAATGTGTATCTCAGAGCGTTGGGGGACAGAACGGCTGAGGTTTGTGAAAAAATAAGCTGCAGGCCGATCTTCACTGACAAGCTGGGTTCAGATCCACAGGAGAGAGGATTACATAAGACTGCTACAAAGAAGGCACAGAAATAAGACGCTGAGAGTGAGCCTCCGTGTGACCAGAGATGGAATATGGGGAGAAGTACCAAGTAAGTGTTAAATAGGAGTCAAGTTCAAGGTGATACATACTTCACGGCCTGACAGAAATTTGGGGTTTATAAAACAGGCAAATGGGCATGTTCGGAAGCACTTGGAGGTAAACACGGCCAGACAGGGTGACTGCCTGCATGAATCGCTCCCTTCGGTGGGCTCTGCTGACGGGAGAAATGAAGTAACAAGCACTCCATCCTACCTCGCTCCCCGGCGCAGCCTCCAGCGGCCTCTTCCTCCTCGGCCCGATGGCAGCCAGGGCGGTGAGGTTGGCGTCTCGCTGCTGGATCTGTGCGAGCTCCATCTGCTGCAGCTAGAAGGCGGGGAAGAAAGGCGGCGGTCACACAGGGCAGAGCGGGAAGCTGGCCTGGAGCTACCTCTGTCTCCGTCACATGTTTACAAGGAGCGGGATGGGAACAGGCAGGAGTGCATGGTGTGACCATCTTGCAGATGCCATTTCTCTGTGCTTGACTCTAAATTAGGCCCCTTAGAACATTCAAATCAGTAAGAGCTCTGGGGGTCAGGGAAAGATGAAATGACAATATTTTATTTTTACCAAACATTTGCGACTAACACAGAGTGGCTCTGTTCTTGGAATGGGGCCAGTGTATTTGATTCTTTTTTTCATCAAGTAGATCCAAGATAGAACACTTTCTAAATATTTTGGAAAGAAATTATATTGAATTCATTTCATCTTGCTAGGAAAAAGAACTGAACAAAGGTGGCAAGGGAGAGGGGAAATGCAGGCTTGGTACCACCTGCTCTCATTATGAGAAGTTCACATTTACTCTTACAAATTAAAAAAAAAAAATGCTATCCACCAATTCATCTCTCAGGAAATAATTATACACAATATAAAAAACAAAGCCATCCCACACAAAACGGCAGGAAAAACTAATCTCAGGTCAGATGTTTGTGAAGGAGGAACATGATAAGATCTTTAAGGATAAAAGGGTAAGCTTTATGATATATTATTTTCCATTACAGGGACACAATGGAAAGAAAGTGCATAAACATCTTATCAATCCTTAATTAGAACAAAGAGGGATGTCCATGGCTCAGAGCAATAATAGTTGCCCATCCCCAAATAATCTGTCATCAAGCCAAGCTTGCTGATAAAGGATTATAGGTACAGTTCTCATATTACTTTTTTCAGATACGATTTTTACGTAAGTTTTCCACTGGAGAGACATGAGCATGAGAAATGCTTTGCTGATGAAATGTTTCTGGTTTCAATTCTCTTTAATGTCTCCCTTCCAGTTCTCCTCACCCCAATCCAGAAACCCTGGCATTCAGAGCTGCATTTTCCTTCTCTACTTGAGTGTAAAAGCCCACATCGATTGTAAGATTCTTACTAGATTTCCAATTGCTTGCCTCAGCTCCTACATTAATCCAAACAACCAGGGCCTTTAAGCCCTCATCAGTAACCTGCTGCTGCTGGCCCCGGAGCCACGTGCGGTGATGTTAAGAAACAACAAATTTCCTAGTCCAAGAGGCGCAGTTAAGGAAAAAGGTAGCTCCGGAAGTCACTCTTATTTAGCACCAAGATCCTCAAAATTGCATGTAATCAGTCAAGTAACTATAGAAACCAATTTCTTCAGCTTCATATCACACGTCTCACACCTCGACTGTCTTTCTTATTGTCTGCCGTCAGATCCTTTATCAGAAATGTGAACGGCTTGATGATTTATTCAGCGGGGAAAAGAATCTGTAGGTCAAGTGAAAAATTTCTCTCTCTCACACACACACACACACACACACACACACACACACACACACACACACGCACACTCCAGCTTCAACCTCAGGTACTTTCATTTCCTTCTGTTCTCTGCAGCTCTGGGGGCAACTCCAGTGAGATCCAATATTAAGGCTCAATTAAAATAAGCTCCAATTAGTGGAGCTCTTTTCTCTGGGGCTAGAAAAGTCAGGAAATGGATATTGGGAAATGTAAAAAGTCAGCTACTGAGAGGAGGCTGCAGACATAAATGAACTTATTTGTTGATTTCTACAGTTGCTATGCAGAGGCCTCTGGGAGTAAAAGCTTAACCAGTCTGAGCTATAAACTAAGCCCCTGCAGCTAAACATGAACTGTGTGAAACAAGGGCTCCATTCCAGAACAGAAAACTGCTGGGCCCAGAAAATTAAAAGCCAGAGGCGTTTTCCATTTAAAACTAAATCCCAGTACCGCCTCCCAGCCAAAGAATTATAAGCAGTATCAGATTTACAAAACGAACAATTACCCTGGAAAAATGTAGCCTATTGTACAGCCCCAGATGCTAAATCTCAGAAGTTACTTTTCCCCTTAATCCCACATTATTCCCTCCAAGTGAGCCGCCGAGCCCACAAAGAGCCTTTCCCCGGCCAGGCCTGGCCGCCAGCGCTCCGGAGAGCCAGCACACCCTCCCTGACCTCATTCACACTGCCCTTGCCCCGGGCGCACCCGCCCTCCCAGGGCTCCCACCCGGCACGCAAAGCCCAGGCGCCCTGACTCCAGGCCAGGGAGGGCTGCCAGTGCCCCCAACACAAAGGCAAGCACGGCAGCCTGTGAGTCCTACCTCCTTGGCTTTCTGCTTCAGCCTCAGCTGCTCTGGATCTTCTTTATTGGAACGGCTCTATCAAAGGAAAAGAAAATTTAATAGAAATTACAAGCATCTAAACATCATAGCTGCCGTTAAATATTTAATAAATAACAATTTTCTCTGGTGATTGAAAGCCTGAGCTCCAGGGGAAATGCCTCAGTCTAGTCTGTGCGCTCTCCCCCTCTCCGCTCCCCCCACCCCGCGGCCCCCCTATCGCCAGCGGCAGCTGAGCTCCAGCCCAGAGCTCCGACCCAGCATAATGCTAACAGTGTCAGGCAGGTCCAGTGGAGGCATGACGCCGCTCCAGCCAGTGCACGGAGAACTGAAACACCAAGGTATGGACGCAGGAAAAGAAAAGACGGGTAACTGTTGGCTTAAAGGAATGAAAACAATCAACAATGGCTCATCTTTAGGTAAAACCATTGGGGCGTGGGGGCGGGAGGGAGGACTACTAAAATCAAGACCCTGACTAGCTTCAAACCAATTCTCTCTCTTAGAAAGTGTAATTAAAAATAAATAAATAAATAAATAAATAAATAGAAGCCTGGCCAGGGTCACCCAGTGGTTGAACAGCGACTTATGAACCAGGAGGTCAGGGTTCGATCCCCAAGCAGGGCACATGCCTGGGTTGCGGGCTTGATCCCCAGTGTGGGGTGTGCAGGAGGCAGCCCATCAATGATTCTCTCTCATCACTGATGTTTCCCTCTCTCTCCCTTCCTCTCTGAGAGCAATAACAATATACACATTTTAAAAATGCAACGTGGAGCCTCGTGCAGTAGAAAAGTACGTTAGGAACACAGTTCTGGCCTAGTGTTGTCGCATTGAACATAATTTACCATTGGCCAGCCTCCAAATTCCCACTCAGAAAAAATAAAACAGACCCAGAGATAGAGAAACTCCGAGCAGACAGTCAAACCTCCAAGGGAAGGCAGGGGAGTGGGGGGCCAGGAGGAGGAGGTAAGAGATCAACCACAGGACTTGTATGCATGTACATTAGCATAATCCAAGGACACTGGGGCAGTGGGGGCTTGTCCTGGGTGTGGGAGTGGCCAGGGAAGGGTCAATGGGGGGAAAGGAGACATGTACTACTATTAACAAAAATAAAATAAAATAATAAAAAGGAATCTTGGTAAAGGAGATGAGCATTCTTTATATAGTTCAAGCAACTTTTTGGCAAGCATGATACAATTTTTTTTCTAATGTTTCTGAAAAATGATTCCAATGTAATTAGGAACAAGTACTCTAAAAGGGGTGGCTGCCAAGATGCTAGAAACCAAAACTAAGGTGTTTAAAATACAAAACAAAACTCGTGTCCAACTCCGAGGCTCCGCACACAAGCCCCGAACTGGGAGAACTGCAGTGGGTGAGCGTCCCTCCGGCACCAGCACCAGGGGAGAGCCAGGCGGAAGTTCGACAAGGGAAGAGGAAATAAATAACAGCGTCATCTCCTCTCTTACCCCCTCTCTAACCCATTTCTGGAATCCTAGATTGTGTTCCATAAAACCCTAATTATCTTAACTTTACCCACCCCCTGCCTGTCTACCTCCCCAAGTTTCCTCTCTCAACTCCAACGTGCTTGGCACAGGTCAATTACAGCTAAAACACCATGAAAATTGTGTAGGCATTTGTTGGGTGATGCTAGGCGCGCAGAAATTGAGAATGAGGCATCTCATTAAACTAAATTAAAGGAAAGCCACTGCACCCACTATCCTGGGAGTGAGAAATTTTATCAAAAGAAGTCCTTGAGAGAAAGCTGAGCCTGTGAAACCAAGACTGCCAGTCGATGGGAAACGTTCCACCCACCTCGCCGGCATGCTCACAGGGCAGGCGCTCACCTTGGCGGCCTTCAGCAACATCTCTCTTTCCTCCAAGTCCTTCCTCTGCTTCTCCAGCTGATCCAGCTTCTCGAGGAATTTGAGCTGTGACCGGGTATCACTGGACAGGATGTAACTGTCACTCGTCTGGAAATAAAAAGAGTCTTAGGATGGGCCTGGGCAACACACTCACAGAAGGTCTCGTTACAAATCAGCTAATGGCAGGAACAGCAATACACTACAGCGCCGCTAATTTTTCAGAGGTAACATTTTCATTTCTGTGAAACAAATGTCACAAAAAAAGAACTTTAATTACCCTTAAAATTTGAGAAAGGATTAAGCATTTAAATTGCGAAGAGCTCTCCCAGTAAGCTTCATTGGGAAAGGGTGGAAGAATTAAGCCAAAGAGATCCTAACAAGAAGGAGAAAGCAACAGAGTGTAGCATTTAACTGTAATCTGAATCTTTTTGGATAAATTACTGCCTATCTGAGCAGATTTTGATATGATTAATTACATCGGAGGCCTGTGAAGGACAAAAACAAAACAATTGCTTCACTGAAAAATGGACAAAAGATGTAAGTTATCACCCTGGTTTCCATGTTGGATGGCTCTAACCTGGTCCCATGAATACAATTTCCACCACACTAACAGCATGAGAGAAGATGGCGAACATTCAGATCATAAATCCTGTTCTGAGGATTGCCTTAAGCCTGTGGTCGGCAAACTGCAGCTCGAAAGTCACATACGGCTCTTTGGCCCCTTGAGTGTGGCTCTTCCACAAAATACCACAGCCCGAGCGAGTCTATTCTGAAGAAGTGGCGTTAGAAGAAAATGTCAATTGTTGTACTGTTGATATTTGGCTCTGTTGACTAATGAGTTTACCGACCATTGAGCTATGCTGTTAGGAGGCAGGACAGTATTGTCTTTGATGGGAAGTAGTGGCTATGGAGGACCTTAAGTGGGGGGAGGGAGAAAGTAAATGCTGATGATGTTCTGCCCCAAGAGACCCTACCCATACACAAATTCGTACACCAGGCCTCTAGTACACTTTGTAAATGAGAGCCATAACAGCAGCAATCGATCCATAAAATGATAAAATTTATGTTGTTCACTTATTCTGATATTTCAGAGTATGAAACAATCTAAATACTTCGCTATTTTCTTCCTCTGATCCAATGACCTTCCCCCGCCTCTCTAATGCATGGATAAGTGAGCACACTTGTGATGGAGGGCCATTTCCCATCACTATGTGAGACACCTGCCTCCATTCGCCTGATTCAGAAGTCAAGCTACAAGAGAGGGACCAGAAGACTGAGTAACTGGAAACTTAGACTGTTTCTAACATTCAGTCCCACGGCCGCGTCTGACTTGTAAACCATGGGCACACCACCACTCCCATCTTTGTTTTACCCCGTGCTCATGGCTGATCCCATTAACTGGATAAGAGATTGCCTATGTCTGAGATTCTTTTTAAATTAAATTGTTATTGTTGGTAATTCACTAGATCACAAGAGTATTGCATAGTGTAACTAACAAGGCTGTATTAGTGCTATTTACTTCATGTATAATAACAAAAAGAATTTTCAAGTGCTTTTTAAGTTAAATAATACAGATAGACTATGGAATACATTATAGGTTAACTATAGAGATATAAACATAATAACCAGTGGTTTCTTAAATACTTCATCTTTACAGTTTCTTGTTCAGATATAGTGGAGATAGATTACTTTAAAAAGACAACCATCAGTAAATTAAAAAGGGACAGAGACTTTCTAAACTTTCACCCAATCTCATTCCCATAATGATACTCCTCTTCTCTCCCTGGCTTTGATAGAGCCACCTCTGGCTTCATGAATGATCCCTGCTATCCTCTCCCACACACAAAACAAATGAGTGCTTCTCCTCTCCTTCTCAGTCCCCAACCTCATCGCAACAACAGCACCCCAGTCTCATCCTATTCCTTCCACAGGGTGTGGCTTAGCAATAAAAATACAAGGACTTAGACCACTGGTTCCCAATGTGGGGGGGCAGTTTGATTTTTAAGGGGGGCAATTCAAGAATGTCTTATTAACCGAATTTTTTGCATTTCTTATGGTTCTAGATGTCTTATTTATAGTATGTAAATATATATTATGACATATTTATGCATTTCAGTTCTCTATGTTTTGAAACTTTATTTGCTGGTTTTTTTTTTTTCATGTCACTTCATATATTATCATTTTTTAACAATTTCTTAGTGATGTCTTCCTCAGGACTTCCACTGTCCTTTCGTTCTTTTCTTTTTCTCTTTCATGGATGCCATGTTCTTGGGAAGCTTGTTCAGACCAAGTGAATGGCCTTTACAGCGTCCTCCGCGTGAATGGAAGTTCACTTTTTTAATAATAAGGATTCTATGTCACAAGGGGAGGGATCAGGATTTTAGAGATGCTTAGGAGGCATGGCTGAAAGAAGGCTGGTAACCACTGACCCAGACAAATGATAACACCATCAGTGAACCCCAGCTAAGGAAAGACCGCAGTCCCTCCATGTCAACTGGACACACTGAAGCCCAGACAGCCACAGACATGCAGGGGCTGTCCGCCTTCTTCCGTGGGAAAACACCTGGCAGACACACCAAAAGCTTTGTGCCTCATGTCACTTTCTACTTCTTTACTGAAATCTCAGTCTACGAACTGGGACTGAGTAGACAATTATATCTAACCAGGTGAAAGATCTTATCCAAAGCAGATGGATTTTAAATGGGGGAGTGGGGGAAATGGGATTTTGTTTTTAATAAAAGTAGCTCACTTTTGTGAAATTCATGGAGTAAGGACATACAGAGGGCCAAGAAACATATGAAAACATGCTCAAAGTCACTAACCATCTGAGCGATGCAAATCAAAATGACAATGCGGTACCATCTCACACCTGTCAGAATGGCTGTCATCAACAAATCGACAAACAACAAGTGCTGGTGAGGATGTGGGAAAAAAGGAACCCTCACATACTGCTGGTGGGAATGCAGACTGGTTCAGCCACTGTGGAAAACAGTATTAAGTTTCCTGAAACATTTCTTTTTAGATAAATAATGATCTGCCTTAGACTAAATGAATCTCCACCATGTGCGATCAAATTCTATTTTATGCTCTTTTCAAATAAAAATATGAAAAATGCTGTGCTGAAAAAAAAAAAAGAGTACAATTTCCCACATTGTACAGATTAAAAAAATATATATATCCTTTCAGGGAAGAACTAAAATGTAAAGACAGGTTCAATTCTCTGACACAAACATTATTACAACCAAAGCCTACAAAATAAGTATAATGAAAATGTTTTTACTGACTTCAGAGAGAGGGAAAGAGATAGAAACATAGATGAGAGAGAAACATTGATTGATGGGATCCCTCCTGCATGCCCTCTACTGGGGATCGAGCCCAGAACCCAGGCATGTGCCCTGACTGAGAATCGAACCATAACCTCCTGGTGCATGGGATGATGCTCAACCACTAAGCCACCCACCAGGCCAAAATAATCTTGTGGTGGATCCAAATATAACTAAATGATTATCATTTCTCTCTACAGGGACATGTGGCTGCCTTTCCAGACGTACAAATTCAGACAGGGGCACTGAGTGTATTAAGGAGTGAGTGTGGAGAGAGGTGACAGGAGAAAGTCAATCAGGACAGGCAGTGAGTGCACAGGCAGAAAGCTAAGAACATGTTCACTTTACACTAAGTTATTCAGGGAGGTGCCAGATGAGGGAGATGCTATTCATTTTGCAAAGGGCAACCAAACCCTTGGAACACATGCTACTGACATACAACAGAAGAACTGCATCTGAAGGCTGTACACAATAGAGATCTGGAGACAACTCACAAGAGTAAACTCTACCCGGAGAACTCTATTCCATTCTAAACTGTACATGTTACATTTTGTATAGAAAATGCCCCTCGTAAACAAAAGTGCACCATGTATCTCTGAACTAACAGAGTGGTGGAGGCAGGAATAGGGGAGAATCCAAGTTTGAAAAATTATGACTCTACATGTACGCAGCCCTGGCTCAGTGGTTAGAGAGTCGGCCTGCCCATTGAAGGGTCAATGGGTTCTATTCAGGGTCAAGAGGAGGGTTGTGCCCTGACAGGTTTGGCTCAGTGGATAGAGTGTCAATTCTGGTCAAGGGCATGTACCTTGGTTGCAAGCACATCTCCAGCAGGAGGTCAATGTTTCTCTCTCATCAATGTTTCTAACTCTCTATCCCTCTCCATAAAAAAATCAATAAAATATATCTTTTTTAAAAAGAGTAGGGTTGCAATTTCCATCCCAACCTCAGTTGGGGCTCATGCAAGAGACAACCAATCGATGTCTCTCTCACACATGAATGTTGCTCTCTCCTCTTTCCTACACCCCCCTCCCTTCCACTCTTTCTCACTAAAAAAGGAAAAAAAACAACAACAAAGAAACAATCAATGGAGAAAATATCCTCACTTCTTGAGGGAGGAATTTTTTAAATATATACACAAAGCTCTGGCTGATGTGGCTCAGGGGTTTGGAGCATTGTCCCATAAACTGAAAGGTTGTGGGTCCTATTCCCAGTCAGGGTTCAGTCAACAAAGTGCAAAAGGCAGCTGATCAATGTTTCTCTTTCACATCGGTGTTCCTTTTCTCTCTCTCTCTGTCTCTCTCTCTCTCAACCTTCCTCTCACTCTAAAATTAAACATATCTTTGGCTGAGGATGAAAAAGAAAATTAAAGTTGTAAAATACACACACACACACAAGGAATGAGAAGTACACAAACAACAGATCAATTACACAAACAAAAAAGGCAGTAACAGAGGAAATGAGACAGAAAATAGTTAAATAGCCGTTCTTCCTTGTCAGTAACTGCTTTAAATGTAAATCGATTAAACTAGCCAATCAAAAGGTAGAGACTGGCAGAATGGATAAAAAAAAAACAAAATCCATAATCCAACTAAATGTGTTTACAAGAGATTCACTTCAGATGAAAGCACATAAAAAAGGTTGAAAGTGAAAGATGAAAAAAGATATTCCATGTGAAAAACAACCAAAAGAAAACAGGGGTCATTATATTAATATCAGGCAAGATAGACTTTCAGTCAAAAATGCTTAAAAGCTACTACATATAGTGACAAAAAAAATCTATTCATCAAGAAAACATACATACCAGGGCCCTTGCACTGAAGGATCGTAGGTTCGATTCCAATCAAGGGCACATACCTGGATTGCAGGTTTAACCCCAGGTCCCAGTCGGGGTGCATACCAATTGGTGTGTGTGTGTCTCCCCCTCTTTCCCTTATATATTAATAGTTCAATAATACCCGAATTCTTCAATTCATCACTTTGAATAATGGGTAGACTATCCAGACATAAGATCAATCAGGAGAATGGAACACAATAAATTAACTAGATCTAGCAGACTGGCACAAACACTCCACCAGCAACAGCAGAACTTACACTTCTCCAGGGCACATGGAACTCTCCAAGACAGACCATAAGCTAAGGCCACAAAACAAGTCTCAATAAACTAAATGATTAAATCACACAAAGAATCTTCTCTGACCAAAAAATGAAGCTGAAAATTAAGAATAGAAGGAAAATGGAAATTTCATAAAAATGTGGAAATTAAACAAACTTTAAAACACCTGTTAAAAATTGTCACTCTTAATCAACCAATGAATGAATCAAAGAAATTTCAATGGAAATTAGATAATAAAATGGAATGAAAACAAAAACACAATGTATCAAAACTTATTTATGTAGTAAAGCACTGCTCTGAGGGAAATTTATAGCAGTAGATGCTTCCATTTAAAAAGAAAAATCTTATATATCGGTAATTTGCTTTTACAACTTAGAGAACTAAAATAAAAATTAAAGTAGGATCATTACTGATCATACAGAAATAAAAAGGATGATAAGAGAATACTGACTAATTAATGTCCTAGAAGAAACAAAGTCTAGAAACATACCCAAGAAATACTGATATTGGGTATTTTAAAGCTTTTTCTTCTTCCCATCACATACTTGCAAGTCAGTCCAACAAATTCTGGCAAAGACTTATAGCAGTGAGGGCCTCAGCAATGATACAAATAGCCCTGCCCAGGTTCCCAATGAAGCAGAAAGCAGAGAAAACATGAGTCCTCCTGGGATGTGGCAGTGACCACGCTGCCCTGGCGCCCTGGGAACCTACGGCGCGGACAGCATCCCATGACCATTCCTGCGAACTCAAACCCCATGAGACTGCCCACACCCCATGTTGTACAAAACCTTGGTTCTCAGTATTGGGGAGAAAGCTTTATCCTTTTTCTTTTTCATCTTTCACCTCTCTCCTCCAACACCGTAATTCAATAAATCAAGGGCTTTCATCTTGATGGTGGCAAGTGATCCGGTTCACACCATAGGGACAAAGAGGCTATCCTTGCCTGCAACTGTTTCAGATATGAAAGCAGTCGAACCGAGAAAGAGCGGCACCTATTAGCACAAGGCAATGATCTGTGACAGAGGAACAGGAGTGAGAGCAGAGCAGACCACTGAAGAGAAGAGAGCTCCAGCGCTCGCTCGGTTCTCACACGTCTCCTCCCCAGCACAAGCCTGGGGGGAGGAGCTGCGGGCAGAGTAGATGCGCATTTCAATTTACACCGAAGCTTCTGCCCTTTTAAACTCTATTTTAAATGTTGTTTGTCAGGCAAGTGAATTAGGAAGGCAAACTAGGAATGCGATTTTGATGTTCCACCAACATAAAACATGTCTCACTCATTTTCTTTAAAAAGATAGTTAGAATACAAATCCTTACCAGAGACTGCTCTGAACGTGACAAATGGAGAGAAGAACGTGACTCCACGATCCCCTTACCTTGTAGGCCATCATCCGGTGCCGAGCAATAGTGGTCAGCTTCTCCAGAAGGCCTCGCAGCCGCTCCTGTGTTGCATGGGAGATCAAATTCACGGCCTCAGAGCTCAGCTCCGTAACGTCATGCTTTTTACCTGTGCAAGCAGAAGAGACCCAGGATGCGTTTTGGTGGAGGCTGATAATTGAAATAATTAGCACAGCAGGCATTCTGTTCCCCCTGGAAGTCAGGCCCATTATGAATAAAGGTTTGGAGATTATGATTTTCCTGGTAAAGTCACAACTTCAAAGACCTTAGACTTTACATTAATAAAACCCAGCCCGAAGCCTCAGAAAATATAGCCATTGTTTCCCTGAGCCTCTAGGATCATTCTCCTGCAAGGTCACCTATAGGACAAAGTTAATAAGAACACAAACCAAGCCTAGGACTCAGGGAGAAAAATGCTAACTGCAGAAATGAGTGCTGCATTCTGGTAATTTTAGTAATGAAAAAAATAGAAAATTACACTTAGTCCTATGGACACTGCTAACCATTCTGGCATCTCAAAGAATTCAGGTTGTGGATTTCTGTTAATGCCTTGTCTACAGACATGCCTGTGCTCCTTGGTCCATTACCAATCATGCTGGCATTCAAACTGGGCTCAAAGTCTCCCCATTTCATCCATCCATTTGAGTCACTTCTCTTTCACTTCCTCTGAAACCAGACTTTCAGTCTTCCTCTTACTACCTAGAAACTTTTAAGAAAACATACCCAAAGGCAAAAGTTCATTTACAAGTCAACCTTATCACTATTTAAATAGTAATTCTCCAGCTTGGTGAAACCACCTTTATCAGCAGAGACCTAAATCTAAAGATATAGGTAATTAGGTAGTGGAATTTAAGTGAGCTTTAAATAGTGCTGCTGTGTTTGTTTTTTAATCCTCACCAGAGGGAATTTTTTTCCTCATTGATTTTTAGAGAGAATGGAAGGGAGGAGGGGAGAGAAGAAGAGGGAGTAGGAGGGAGAGGGAGAAAAGGAGAGGGAGAGAGGAAGAGATACAATTGCTTCCCGCACACGCCCCAACCTGGGCTGGGGATAAAGCCTGCAATAGAGGTCAGACTTAAACCCGAGACCCTTCAGTCCTAGGGCAACACTCCAACCACTGAGCCAACCCAGCCAGGGCTATTGTGTTTGTTTCTAACATTTGCCTAAACACAGAATTTTAAAATATTAATTTGATTTTGCACTCTATTGGAAGTATACTTATATACTCATCACAGTGTGAATGAGTGCAGTAAAAACAAACTTTAATTAAAAGCCAACAAATCTTAAATGCATTCTTTGACATTATTCCATAATAACTGTTAAACTTCATTTCAAAACGATAGTAAGCCAGGCAGGAAGATTTTTAACAATGACCCAGCAGGAGCACCGGAGGCCACAGACTCTGTCTGCAGGCGTCTCTGAGTGCACGTGGGCACCATTGGCAAAGCTCCCCTTCCATTACAGAACTGGAGAGACCAGCAGTTATCATGGAGATTAAATGGCGGCAGGCATGCCCGAGGAATACAGCAGGGACTGGTCCATGAATGAACCTGTGATGGATGACGTGTGTGGGAAAGAACAATACTGGAGTGGTGGTCAGACGAGGACACAGTGTCATCACGTTAGAAGCAATAAAGATTAAAAAAGAATGGCTATAGTCACCAGAGAAATCAACTGCTTCCACATGTTCCCTCTCCAAGAACCTGCTTGACTACAATACAAGAGTCTTGTCCATGTTCACATTAACTTTTGTTAAATAAACTTTTGTACTGATCAAAAAAAAATTATCCAGCTTCTCCTAAGGCAAACCTTCAAAATGTACGTCATTACTTTCTAACAAAACTGAATTCATCACCGACTTTAGATTCAAGAGGGGAAAACACCCCACAAGGTCAAACCTACCAAAAGCATCAGCATAAACAGGTAGGGACCTTCTACAGAGGGACAGGACAACTTCAACACAGCCCAGTGGTTAACATTCCACTACACAGGGAGACAGACAGGGGAGACACGCCAGTTCATGCTTAAATTAAGACAATGAACGTTTTTAAATATTTAGTTTTGAAGGGGATTTTTGAAATAATTTTACATGTATTTATAAAACAAATAAGTCATCCTATTCGAAAGATCGTATTTTTCAAATATTAAAATAAACAAGGCTGAATTTGTAAACAATTTCAGGATTTCGTGAACAATCAAACGTATAAATATCTTCACTAAACCTATTTTAAAAATGACAAAGTTAATACGGTAAGAAAAATCTCCACTATGAAATAAAACACTTTGTTAAAGTCCACATAACTGATGAGCAGAGCTAGTTGGTGCTTGCAAGCTTGCTCTGTGACTTACAGATGTCTGTGCGCGTTAGCTTACGTAATTATTAAGATGAGAAAACACTGGCGTGTTTCCTCTAACATATTTAAGTAGAAAATCTTCTTCCAAATTTTTGGGGGATACGTTTATATTTTTTGTTACTAAGGAATGATCTTAAGAGTTTTTAACCTGTTCAGTAAAAAGGAAACTTTACTAGAAATGGAAAACATTCCCAAAAATAACATAACTCCATTCACTCTATGGTTATTTTTTTAAAGCTTAGAAAAATTCAGAAGTAAGAAGTTTTGCAATTTCTCATCCTGTTAAATGACAAGTTTGTGCTTCATCAAGGACTGGAAATACCAATAATTGTCCCTAAAATTCTCCTTGAAAGCAGAGGCTGCACACTGAATGTGGTCTCTACTTAATTTGTGTATAAAATTGGATGAAATACAATTGTGCCTATTGCTTCCACACTGTCTAAGCTGCTTTGGTAATAACAGCAGAGGGAGCAGCTGGGACACAGACCACAGGGCCCACAAAGTAGCAAATATTTATTCTCTGGCCCTTACAGAAAACAACCGTCCATCCCTGTCCAAAAAGATTTTAAAAATGCTCTTTCAATGCTAAAAATTTTATAATCAAGGCTCAAATCAAGCTAGAAATAAAATATGCAAGAAGGGCAAGGAATTGACAAAATTATCTACTCATATGCTACCAAAGCTTCAGATAATTATATGGCTACAAATACCAGGAGTTCAAATACCAGGAAATTTCCCAAGCTGTCACAGAAAAATGGTGCTTAGGCTTGTTCCAAAATTAAAGAGCTGGCTCCTGTGCAGTTCAGAATGCATATGGAAAGAAGAAAAGTTGAGAGAGAGAGAAAGAGACAGAGACAGAGAGACATGGAGGGAGAGAGAGATGTGTCTTCAGACTACTTGCACATGCTAGCTTTTCATGATAAAAGGAAGAGGATATGTACCAACTCAAATCAGAGATAAAAAAGTATAGCCAAGACCGGTTTGGCTCAATGGATAGAGCGTCGGCTTGGGGACTGAAAGGTCCTGGGTTCAATTCCGATCAAGGGCATGGACCTTGGTTGCGGGCATATCCCCAGTAGGGGGTGTGCAAGAGGCAGCTGATCGATGTCTATCTCTCATCGATTTTTCTAACTCTCTTATCTCTCTACCTTCCTCTCTGTACAAAATCAATAAAATATATATATTTTTTTTTAAAAAAAAAAGAGATAAAAAAGTATAACAGCACAGCGTAGGTGCTCAAACATTTGAATATTTTGCAAAGTAAAAGTAAAATATGTGAGAGTGATGCACTTTATAGTCCTTAAATATACTGTGGGGATATAAAAATCAGAAACATCCTATTTCCGTTAGACCTTCCATATAAAATGCGAAGACTCCTGCTCAAGGACACTCAAAGGCCTAGCACTGGCCCCAAATTCAACGCGGGTGAAGGAGGAGACCTGGGGTCCAGCAAGCCCCGGTCAGGATGCAAGAAACAGGGAGGTATTTTTTTTTTTAAATATATTTTATTGATTTTTTTACAGAGAGGAAGAGAGAGGGATAGAGAGTTAGAAACATCGATGAGAGAGAGTCATCAGTCAGTTGCCTCTTGCACACCCCCTACTGGAGATGTGCCCGCAACCAAGATACATGCCCTTGACCGGAATGGAACCTGGGACCCTTGAGTCCACAGACCAACACTCTACCACTGAGCCAAACCAGTTTCAGCAACAGGGAGGTCTTTTAAAGCAAATGAGAGTTTGAATTTCAGGGTTTAAGATAAGAAAAAGGGGATTACTCTCAATAGCTATTGCTTTATTTCATAAACACAAACTTGTAACCTAAGTATACATAAGTACATATAAATGCCTTATGGCCAGCCAAGGAAGAAACAGGACAGAAAAAAGTTTATTTTATGTATACTAGAGACCCGATGCAGAAATTCGTGCACCAGTGGGGTCCCTCAGCCTGGCCTGGCCTGCACCCTCCAGTAATCCGGGACCCCTCAGGTTTGGGCTCGATCCCCGCAGGGCACCGGGAGAACTCACCACACACCGGGCCTCTAGTATGGATGTCAGATCTTTGGTTAATCTCTTCCCACCCTCCCTCTGAAATTCATCAGTCTGTTTCATGAATCCATGCCTGTGGTTTCCAATCCTGTGTTTAACATCTGCCCCCTAGTGGTCAGTGCGAATCAGAGCTACCAGACAGTGGCGGGTTGTTTAGGCTTCTATAATAATAAAAGTAATAGCAGTGACCAGTTTGGCTCAGTGGATAGAGTGTCAGCCTGCAGACTAGGTTTGATTCCAGTCAAGAGTATATACCTTGGTTGTGGGCACATCTCCAGTGGGGGGTTGTGCAGGAGGCAGTTGTTTCTCTCATTGATGTTTCAATGTGATTTTTGAAACTTTTCTTTGGAAGCCAAAGATGTTTCTCTCATTGATGTTTCTCTCATTGATGTTTCTAACTCTCTATCCCTCTCCCTTCCTCTCTGTAAAAAAATCAATAATATATATATATATATATTTATAAAAATAATAAAAGTAATATACAAATTGACCAAATGGCTGAACAGTGGAATGACCATCCGCACCACCTTCTGGATGAAGCCGGGGCTGCCGGGGCCAAGACATGCATCAGGCCTCTAGTATATATTGTAGATATTCATATAAAAATATTTAAAAATATGAATAAAATATTAACTTCTATTTTTAAAATAAAATACTTCTTTCTATAGCACTCATAAAATCTATGTCAGCCTCAGAGTTCAAGGAAGACCAACCAAGACCATTTCCTAATATCATTGTCCCTGGAAGGAGCAATCCTACGAGATCAACATCATAAGCTGGTACTTACCAATGTCTAAAATCCTCTTCTGTAGAGCTCCAACGAAGAGGAATGGCTCATCTTTACACGACTGAATGAGTGTGCCAACCAGATCAGAATTTGTTGCTAAGATGCAGGCGTTTTCCTCATTGAGGTTGACCCCAGCCATGAAAGTCACATCATTGATGTCATCTTCATCTCTAATAGGAAAGAAGATACAGCTCTGAGATAGTTGCAATGGTGGTGCTTATATATATGAATGATCTAAGAGATATCAAAAGACACGATTTTACTCAATTCATCTGAGCCAGAGAACTGAAGTATGGTGTCCTGTAATCCTTTAAAAGTAACTGGTAATACTGCCCACTGTGTACATTTACTATTAGAAAAATAACCCAAAGCCACTTTGTCTTCCATTGCCCTCTCCTGCTCTTGTTTAGTAAGTGAGCTGCATCAAGAGGGATTAGGAACTTACACCACATTATCTACACCCCCCTGCCACACAATGAAAGACAGACTTCTCTGTTTTCGTCCAAGATGATGAGAAGCCCCCAAGTTCCCCAGTGCACTCCCTGGTCCACTGCGGGCAGCAGACATGACCCAGTCCTCAGAAGTCTGTGCCCACATCACACCCTGGAGAAGAGGCTTTCTTGCCTAGCTATTCTGAAACCAAATGGTTAAGACACACTATTAATAACACAACAGCAAAACAATGAATTACATTTGAAGCAAGGTAGAACATGTGGTAGTCTACACTAGAGAATCTGATTCCTGCAATATGAAAAAATGGACATTAAAGTTGGAGTAATACTATCTATGTAAATAACATGTAATCATCCTATATTATTTTCTCAAAGTGGCTTCCAAAGAAAAGTTTCAAAAATCACATTAAACTCCTAGCTGTTCAAAGACCTCCACTAACAGAAGTAATATATATGCATTATTCATCCATAAATATTTTATTACTTCCCTCTAAAATATAAAGACTATAAAAATACTTAACCATAAAGCAGTATCACATTTTCCAAAAATCAACAATAACTCCTAAATTATCATCAAATAGCCAGTCAGTTTAAACAGGCCTAACTAGACAGACATACAGAGGTTGTATACTTGTCACTTCTAATTCTGAAACAGTAAGGGTAAAACATGGTTCTCTGGCACCCTCTGGTGTTTAAGAATGATATTGCTATGGTTACTCATTCAAAAAAAATTTCAGTTAAGCAAGTATAATTGTGAAAAATAGGCAGATATCACTGTTATTACACCTCATCCAGTTAAGTCAAGACAAGATTTAATGCCACAAGAATACTTACTTCTTACCAATAAGAGCCAACATTTCAACAATAACTAAAGTGATATTGATATTAAATATCCAAGGAAGCAAACTTAAATATAAAGACATCACTCTAAACTAAACCTCAGTAGGGGGCGTACAGGAGGCAGTCATACAACCACATATGACTCAAATTACTGCAAAAAATTATATAATGGAAAACTGTAGCTTAGTGCAAAAATAGAAGATATCGACGTTTAAACTGAACTCAGAAGGACCAGGCCACGCAAAGACGAGGAGACAGAGTCCAGGGCCTATCACATCTAGAATATAACGGGACACAACTCATGGAGAACAGAGCGAATGCAAACCAGGAGCCATTACACCCACCATGGTCTCCCTACTTCCCCTTTACCTGACAAGACTCTCTTCTGTCCTGCTTACGCCACTGCTTTTTAGTTTTCTGTTATCTACAGCCTCCTTGGATTCTAACATCTATACCTAGAATTCATAAAATAGTCAATTCTCCCCCAAACTAACCTAATTACATCATCTCACTACAAGACTTTCATACAACTGTCCTGTTTCTAAAATTCATGTGCAATAGAAAAATAACGAAGAAAAATCAACGTATCTTTGATTTAAAAAGGGATAAAGCGAAAAATCATGCTCTATCAGATATAAAAACAAATACTGAAGTGGTAATTGAAAATGCAAAAATATGAACAGACATAAAACAAAAACCAGAGCTAAAATGAAACTTTATAGATGTAGCCTTGTATGCATGAGGATTTTCTGTAAGATAAAGATTGCATTTCAAATTAGAAAGGTAAGAATGATGAATTCTTCAGAACCACTTCTGAGACGAACAATTCAATTGGCAAAAATTCATAATTTCCCTCATCCAGAACAAACCCTCTTATAAGCCAGTATTTGAATAGGATTTATAAGCTAAAGCCATTTTTTGTAGAAAGGATGTTTACACTTCAGAACATAAACTGCAAAATGGCCAATGACTGAGTCAGTTACAAAGAATTTGTAGCATGAGACATTTACAAAGATAAGATAAAAAGGTATGTGTGCATATGTGAGGTGTGTACAGATATCTTGAAAAAAATATAGGCTCACATCACCATGAGCTGTGAATAGGGAAGGATTTCTTAGAATAGGTGAAATTCAAAACCCACATAGGAATCCAACATTATGACAAAACCAAGCCTTCATATAACAAAAGATACGAGAAACAGTGACAAGGTAAGCCAAAGAGTAAATATTTACAACATGTACAACAAGTAATTACATACTCACATATGTATATAAACCTGAAAACACTAAGAACTCAGCAGAGAAGTGAGCACAAGTAATAAGCTAGAAATTTCCCAAAGAAAATAGTAATGGTGACACTTTTGCCTCAGGCAGTCAGTGGACTAGATTTACTAAGGAGAAATTACATGACATTAACACTAGACCAATATACGACATTTTCATTTTCGTGTCCTGTGCACAGAAGTTGTCAAAAGGTGTCAGTAAAAATAAGCAGTTGCACGCCATAAAGATAGCACTGCCTCGCGAGAACGCCTGTGGCCAGCACCAGCTCCTGGGCCTCCGCTCACGGGGAGAAACGGTCTCTAAGTCAGGTTTCCTAGAAGAGGCACACGTGGTCCCAAGTCAATGGTCAGCCCCGACTGCTGAAGAAACAGCCGTCAATCCTCCCTGCAGTACAGCAACCTGGGTTTGGGCCTCAGGGTCAATCTAATTTACATAGCCAATAAGGTTCTAAATTCAACAATTACATTTTTCACTTCTCAAGGTCTTATTTGGTTCTTTTTCAAAGGTTTGTATTCATTTCTTAATAGGTAATTATTACTTGCTCATTTTTGTGACTCCACATTTTATTTTTAATCATTTTATAATAGTTTTTAATACTGAATATTTGATCATCCTGGAGTTCCAAAAGTGTTGCTCATTCCCTGTAGTTTAAAGCAAGGTTAACACCCTAGTCAGTTTAGCTCAATGGGTAGAGGACTGAAGGGTCCCAGGTTTGATTCCAGCCAAGAGCACATGCCCCAGGTTGCAGCTGTTACGAGTGTGTAGGAGGTAGCCACTCAATGATTCTCTCATCACTGATGTTTCTATCTCTCCCCTCTCTCCCTTCCTCTCCGAAATCAGTAAGAAATATTTTATTTAAAAAAGGGTAACTTTTCTAAGTATGATTTATCTGTGAAAGTGAACACATACATGGATAGCAGAATACAGCAGAAAGACATTTTTAAACTGCTGAAAAGAGAGAGAAAAAAGGCAACCCAAAATTCTAATCTTACTCCTGATCACATCATCTATATAAATAACCTAAAATAATCTAACTTGGAGAACAACTGGAACTCTCATTATTGCTGGTGGGAATATAAAATGGTACAGTCTTTTTGGTAAACAGTTTGATAGTTTCTTAAATACAGATGCACCTGGACTTAAGCCCCAGGAAGTTGAAAATATTTTAAGTCGTAAACGCATTTAAAACAGCGAGCCTACTGAACCTACCAGCTAAGCCTCGCACCTTACACAGGGTCGGAACACTTACATTGCAGCGGGGAAAATCACCTCGCCGCGGTGCCCCGCACCCTGGGAGAAGCTGTCCCACTCCACTCCCTGCCAGAGCTGTAAGGCGTTCTGCTAGCCCAGGAAACAGTAGCAATTCCAGATTCGAAGTAATGTTTCTGCTGAATGCATAGTTTTCAAGCCACCAAAGAGTCAAAAAATCATTAAGTTGAATTGTAGTAACTCCAGTAAATCTGGAGTTAAATACACACTGATGTAATGACCCAGCCATTATATCCCACATTTTACTAGAGAGAAATGAGAAACTACGTTCATACAGAAACCTGTACGTAAATATTTATAGTGGCTTCATATATAATTGTTACAAAATTGCAAACAACCCAATGTTCATCAACAAGGATTTACATTCATACAACAAATACTTCTCCCCCATGCAAAGAACAATTTTCTAATATTCATAATGACATAGGATATGAACGTCAAAAACATACTGAGTGAAAAATTTCAGATGCAAAGAGCAGATAATGTAATTTTTCATTTATGTTTAGTTTAAGAACAGATAAAAATGACCCATGGTGATAGATATAAAGATAGTGGTTATATGAGGCAAGGGTTAGGATATTGATTTTAAAGGCGCATAAAAGCATCTTGATCTGGATTATGATTAACCCAGTATATGTTTGTCAAAATTCATTAAGATGTACACTAAAAAATCTGTGTACTTATTGGTTTATAAATTATACTCAGTTATGTTATATTTTTTAAATGCACAAATATATATTTATTAAAAGTACTGTCATCTCTTTTCTTTTTAAAAAAATATTACTTCCTTAAACCAAATCAACTTTTAACTATATATGTTCTTTACCTCAAGGACGTCGCTCCATTCTCCTTCCTTTTATCTTTCTGAATAGAAGATACTTGAAGAGACAGGATTTTATTTCCTGGCAGGGTAGTTTGTTTTAGAATGGAAGCTACAAAAACAAAGAAAGAAAAAATTATGCTTTTAAATAGGCAATCATGCCACATGATGAAAAATTCAGAACAGCTTTTAATAACAAAGAATAATCAAAGAAAATCTCAAACTGTCTAAAACTATGTTTAAATAGAATCATTCACTAAAATCAAGACCTCCAGCCAGATTACCAGCACTATAAAAATAGTATGCAAAAAACAAACAAACGAACAAACAAAAAAAATAGTATGCAGCCGAAACTGGTTTGGCTCAGTGGATAGAGCATCAGTGTACGGACTGAAAGGTCCCAGGTTTGATTCTGGTCAAGGGCATGTACATTGGTTGCGGACACAGCCCCATTATGGGATGTGCAGGAGGCAGCTGGTCGATGTTTCTCTCTCATCGAGATGTTGCTAGTTCTCTATCCCTCTCCTTCCTCTCTGTAAAAAATCAATAAAATACATTTTAAAAAATAGTAGGCACAAAAAGTAACAGAAACATGTTAATGATATATCATTTCTATGGTAGATTTTAAAAAACAATAAAACCTCTAAATTTTGTGCACAAGACTGACAAAGAAAGAAAGAAGCACATCTTAAAAAGAAAAGGCTACATAAAACTTTTTAAGTCAAAAAAGTACTTATATCCCATTGGACTGTTGTACCTGATTACAAATACTGTGAATAGTTGCTTCCTTTATTCTAAAACAACAAACACCCTTAGAAAGTGGCTCTGCGTATACAAAAATGTACCACCATTATCTTCCAGTCTTCTCTCTTAGGTCTCAACATAAAAGACCACATCTCTCGTCTCTTAAGAGAACATTAAGGGAGACTACTAAACCCCTTCCTGTTTCACACCCAGTGTGGCGGGCCCTAGTCTGGCTGCAGTGGCTGACCGGAAGCTACTGCAGTGGTCACTGGCATCTTCTTCTGAAGGGTCAGTGCTGAGGAAGGGAGAGGTGCGCCCACTTGTTGTGTAAGGCCCCCTGCCGGCTGCTGGACGACCTGAAACAGTGAGAACCATAATTACAGTTAGTAAGGCAAACCTGCTTCAGCTATAACAAGAGAACAGCCACCTGTGTCACCCAGCCGTCAATATACCTTAATCATACTTAAATCTTAATCTGTATGTAGCAGAATTATCCTGTTCAAACTGAAAAATATGACTATCTCACACACCGTATTTTTTAGAGTGGAGCTCAAATTTACGTTACATATTGCCCAATTTAAACCTCCATATATAGCATATTTTCACTTTTTAACTTTTATCATGGAAAATTTCAAATATATACAAAGGCAGAAGAAACAATAAGATGAAACCACCTCCACCATTATTACCCAGCTTCAATGATGATTAATTCATTACCAGCCTTGTTTCCTGTATATTTCCACCCACTTTACTACCACCCCCAATTATTTTAGAGCACCCCCAGATATAACTTTAATCTATCTACAATACTAGAGGCCCAGTGTACGGATTCATGTACCAGTGGGGTCCCTCGGCCTGGCCTGCAGGATTGGGTCGAAACCGGCTCTCCGACATCCCCCGAAGGGTCCCAGATTGCTAAAGGGTGCAGGCTAGTCTGAGGGACCCCACCAGTGCATGATTGGGGCAGGGGAGAGATGCAGGGGAGGCTGGCCAGCTGGGGAGGGACCACTGGAGGACTCCAGGGCATGTCTGGCCCATCTCACTCAGTCCAGATTGGCTGGATGTTCGCAGCAAGCTAACCTACCAGTTGGAGCATCTGCCCCCTGGTGGTCAGTGCACATCAAAGAGAAAGAGCTACTGAGTGGCCTTAGCATATCATTAGCATATTACACTTTGATGCTTTGCTTGGTTGAACAGCCAACCAGTCGACTGGACATTTAGCATGTTAGGCTTTTATGATATAGGATAAGTATTTCAAAATACTAGTAGATCTCCAAAAGATAAGGACTTTTAATGGGCCGTTTTTAAAAAATACCTGGAAAATGACAATGCTATAGACATCCTCCAAAATAAAACAGTTCAAGAAATCCAGAGGGTGAGTGTTGGGGACAAAGAAAGCAAAGTTAGTTCCTTTTTTATTTTTCTACCTCAAAGAAGAAAAAACAGTCAGCATGTATTTGAGCCAGTTACTGACAGTGAACTATTTGTAAGTCTTAAAATTCATTATTGGTTAATATAAATGTGCCAGGAAACAGACTTCTGAACAGAATTTGGGAGTACAATTTATTCTGTATTTTAATTTCTTTTGTAAATAAAATATAAAATCTAGTGAGCATCAATCACTAAATAAAAACTCAAAATAGGAACTAATGCCCCCAGAGAAGAAATACAAAATTAGAATAATTCTAATTGCCATTGTTCTGAGAAGAGACTCTTGAAAGAAAAAACCTCTTAAAAGCAATAATTTATTTTAGCAAGTTGAGATCATACTTACCCTATACCAGAGGCCCGGGGCATGAAATTCATGCACTGGAGGGGGCATCCCTCAGCCCGGCCTGCACACTCTCACAGTCCGGGACCCCTCGGGGGACCCAATGCTGGTTGTAATACCTTGTGCAGAACCAGATTGGGAAGGTGAGTCTCAATGGCAACCTGCATCTGGTGCTGTGCATGGCCCGGCCTACAGACCAATCAGGGTCAAGTTCATGCCAGTGGCAGGAGGCAAAGGTGTCAGTTCAAATATATGTGCACGCCCCACAAACACACACAAGAATAAATGATGATATGGGATATTTATATGTATCCCCAAATTTGGGCTGGGACACACAATCTTGGTCCCCATCATTGCTCATCATAACAACCATGAAACTTGGGGCAGCATTAGCATTCTCCTACACATTTGTAGCAAAAGTAAAATCATGAGTGAAAATAAATAAGAGACATATATATATATATGTGTGTGTGTGTATATGTGTGTATATATTAATATATAGATAGAGAGAGCGAGAGCGAGAGAGAGAGAGAGAGAGAGAGAGCGCACAGGAAACAACCAATCAACGTGCCTCTCTCACATCAATGTCTCTCTCTCTCTCATTCTCTCCCACCCCCCACCCACTCTCCCAAAAAATCAACGGAAAAAAATATCCTCAGGTGAGGATTAGAAAAAAATAAAAAACAAAGACTTTTCCTTGAGGGATACACAGTATGTAGAGGTGTAATGTCATGATTTCCATCTCTCAAATGGTCCAGAAAAAAAATGTGTGTATGTGGCCCTAGCCAGCTTGGCTCAATGTATAGAGCATCGACTTGTGGACTGAAGGGTCCCGAGTTCGATTCTGGTCAAGGGCACACGCGTAGGTTTTGGGCTTGATCCCCCATAGGGGGTGTGCAGGAAGCAGCTGATGAATGATTCTCTCTTCTCATCACTGATGTTTCTCTCTCTCTCCTTCTCCTTTACTCTCTGAAATCAATAAAAGACATATATTTTTTTAAAAAGTTTTTTTTTAATGTGTGTGTGTGTGTGTTTTGTAGTCTGCCAGCAGAGCAAGGGAGAACAAAGAAAATGTAGCAAAACATTAACAACTGGTCAAACCTGGCCCAGGTACACAGAGGCTCACTGTAATTACTAGTCTTGTCAATTCTCTGAATGGCTGAAAATTTCAAAATAAAGAAGTGAGGCAGCAAAGAAATGTTACTCACTAGCTGCTTGACTTTCACTGCCTGTGGGAGAGCAGCCGATTGGGGAAGGATGGGTCCTGGCGGTGCGAGTGTGATCTGGACTGGAGCGCTAACGACAGGCTTCTCAGAGGAGGTCCCCGCAGAAGTAACGACCGTTTTCACAGACACCGACGGAAGACAAAGAGCGGGTGAAGGTTCTCCCACAGTTACTGGCGGGAGGGCCAGCGTCACGCCAGCTCCGCAGACCACAGGCTTTTCAGGTGGAAGCGAGACGGCGGTCACTGCGTTCTGTGCAGTCGCCACAAGCGGCTTTGGAGTCGGCAGCACGACAGGAGGGGCAGCAGCTGGACCCACAGAATGAACCGTCACAACTCCAGCTTTGGCTCCCGCTGGGCCAACCAAGGAATTCAGGCTCTGTACTGACACCGTCCTGGGTGTGGCTGCTCCAGAAACGCCGAGGGCCTTTTCGGCCGGGACAGAGGAGTCTGTCGCTGTCACCACAGCGGTGGCCGGTGCGGTGCAGGCGGCGGCGCAGGCCTCCCCGGAGGGCTGCTGCACACACTGCTGGATGAAGCTCTGGGAGCTGGGCAGGAGCTGTCGCAAGGCACTCACACTTTTCTAGACACGGGGAGAGAAAACACCAATCACTACGGAGGCCAGTGACAGTAAAAAAAGACACTTTGCACTTCACGTCTTTACAACAGAAAATAATCCAGAAGTACACCAACTTTTCATTTGAGGAAATCTGACAGCACTAGTTTATGTCAGGCAACATCCAACATTCAATTTATTTCAAACGAAAAGTGCTTTATTTTTCAATATGAAATGATTATGTCTAAGTCTTAAACTTTTGAATACTGAACATCAATTTTTATTCTGCCAATCCAGAGTCTTATTATCAAAGTTGCTATTCTCCATCAAAATTCTGTTTAATTCAATACATCTTACAGAAGAATATGCCTACTAACAAAATAAATCTTTTAAAATAGCCTTTCCAGCCCAGCTGGCATGGTTGAACATTGATCTGTGACCAAAAGGTCACATTCAATTCCTGGTCAGGGCACATGCCTGGGTTACAGACTCGAAAAGCAGCCGGTCAGTGATTCTCGCTCATCACTGACATTTCTCTCTCTCTCTCCCTCTCCCTTCCTCTCTGAAATCAAAAAGCCTTTCCCCTAAATTTGGCATTATGCTGTCAATTTCTAAGGGAATATGAGTCATTAGGACAGAGCAGAAGGCCCTATTTTTTTTAAATGTCAAGAATTTGGCACATACGAGCATTAAATAACATAATCAGGTTATATTCATGACTTAGATGTTACTTCTTTTTTCCCAGTGTGTTCCAAACCAAAGAATATGAACCAGCAACGGGAGTTACAACACCGAGAGGCCTCTCCTACACAGCTGGTTACCTTCACCTTCCATTGATAGCACGCTGAAATATCCGGGTTTTAAATTTCGTCAAAAGTAATCTAGTGCCAAGAAGTTTTTCACCGTAATAAATGGGTAACTCTACCTTAAGGAAGGGGACTAGGTGAGGCTGGGGTGAAGACTTGAGTTCAACATACAGTTGTCTGGTAAATTCCTCCGCTTCGATTTTTGCATCCTGAGGACAAGGGAGAGAAAAGACACTTTTAGGTCCACACATATTTTAAAGCAGAAACAACATGTAATTCATGATTGTAAACATAAGCTCTGAACAGTGATACGTCCATCATTCAACAGAGGCATTTTTCCATGTCCCTTGTGAAATGAGTAAGGTGAACGATGGAGATGTCTGTTCATGCACGGATGATCTCAGTAAGCAAAACCAGAGTGGAGCGGCAGCCTGTGCAGAGCTATTGCACCAAAGGCTGTGACGAACCTGTCTAAGTGGACACAGGAGTCCTACATTTCTTAGGTAGAGAACAGGAAGCTATTTGGTTTGCGGGACTGGAGGTTTTTTTGTTTTGTTTTTTTAATTTTGAAGTCGCCTTCATCAGGATACACTATTTTTAGAATGCGGGGAGGCTGTAATGACAGATGTACAATTGTTCCAGAAGGCTGAGGAAGCCTTCCATGCTGCCTCACATGCAGAGCATTTCAGGGGCTATAGACTTCATAGCGATAGGCCTCTATGGCTACAGTACTGCCCCATCCACATGGCCAACGAGGCAACTCTGACATGGAGACTCCCCAGAATGAGGCTTCCAAAGGCTGGGAGACCACACTATCCAACTACAATGTTGGTCTTCAATGCATCCTTCCAATTGCTCTATGATCAAAAAGGGGAACTACAGACAAAAAGAGGGGGTACCCCGTTCTATAGAAAGTATCCTCCCAGGGTGACCTGATCATAAATTCCTAACTGGGCAGCTCATGGGCAGTCATGCCCAGGCCTGAGCTTTAGTGGGGAGTTTAAGCCAGCTCTGTCCATTGCTCTTGTGCATTTATATAACAAACCTTTGCAATGTCAGAGGTAAAAACCCAGAAAGGGGGTATTAACCCTCAAAAAGAGCACATAATCTTGTTAACTATTTTGTAGTGTTTCCCAAACTTTTGACATATGTGTACCCCTTCTATAATTTTCGTAACACCGAGTACCCCTTGTACTCATGAGAACGTAGAATTAGGCGCAGCTAAGCATGGTGCAGTGCATATCCCCACCAAACTCCGGTGCAATGCATACCCCCACCAAACTCTTCCAGTACCCCTGGGGGTACGCGTACCACACTTTGGTTAACACTGTGGAGTAGTCCAACGCCTGCCTTCATTTTCCCCACTTCCATGTAATCTTCCTTATGTTCCCGCCTTAATTTCAAATGCATACACAAAGAGGCAAAACTGTTATTCTCCAGAGCATTTGGGATCTTGCTTCTCAGTATACATATGTCATCAGTTTGGTTCAAATAAACTCATAAAAATAAAAATCCAAAATTATATTTGTTATATCCTCAGCATATTTCTTAAACAATATTCAGTATTTGCTAATTTCCACTTTCATCCACTTTTTAACATACCTAAGTATTTTACCTGAAAGAAGAGACAGAAGAAACCAAAAGACACGCATCTTGACACTTACATAAATCTCAATGATTATCCCATCTACGCTGCTCATCTCAGAGAAAGCAGCTGAGGCCGAAGGAAGTTAATGTAGATATTTCCTTGGGCCCAAACCTTTGTTGTCTGGACATACACAACTGAATTTTATCACTTAATAGCCCAGCTTTTGGCATTTACAGTTCTAATAACTTTTTATTTGACAGTCAACCTTCTCTCCAAGACCCCTTTTGGCGAACGGAAGAATACTGACACAGAGGAAGGAATGTATACTACACAGATTGGCTTGTCTGAGACTTAAAATCATCACAAAGCTTTCAAGCAGCAAAAGCAAAGTTTATTTAAAATCCATTTTAAAATAAACTTCATTTACAAATAGTCATTCCCCCATTTAAAAGACTTTCTATGGGTTCTTACAGAGTGTCCCAGGTTTCATCGCACTGACTCACCAAAAGTTGTTCCACCAGCTTCTTGACATTCTGCCCCATTTCTGGGGACTGTGATCCACTACACGCTAGTTTTATTAACATCGCAAGGAAGTTCTTACATTTCTTCACATTCTCTAGCATCGCCTAAAAACAGAAATAGAAACAGGCTCTCATAACAGAGTTAACATTTTTTGAAGAGCTGTATTCATGGAAGGAGCAGGGAGAGCTTACTGGAGTAAGACTGGTCTGAGCAGCTGCGGAGCTCCCTGCATTGGGGATGGGCTCACTAGAAAGGGCGTGTGCTGCTCCCAAACTTGAAGACTTTAGGGTGGTTACAGTATTCGACGACTTCACGGGAGTGACTGTGACAACACTGGATGGCACCGCCACAGTCTGCAATGAAAAGGAGCACGTATTGAGCTATGTATTACTAGGACAGGTATCGCAGTGGCGCCTCATTTCACTTACCAGACTGTACAGGTGGACTTGAAATCTTTGCTTTTATGTTATGTAACAGCTACAAAGTAGCTCTGGACTCGAGCAGACCTGGGATTCGTTCTTTTCTTTTCTTTTTTTAAATATATTTTATTGATTTTTTACAAAGAGGAAGGGAGAGGGATAGAGTTAGAAACATTAATGAGAGAGAGCATCAATGAGCTGCCTCCTGCACACCACCTACTGGGGATGTGCCTGCAACCAAGGTATATGCCCTTGACCAGAATCAAACCTGGGACCCCTCAGTCCATAGGCTGCCACTCTATCCACTGAGTTGAACCGGTCAGGGCTACCTTCTTTTCATTGACATTTACTGAGTGTTGATCTAAGACAAGTTACTTACTCCTGATAACCCTGATTCCTGTCTATAAAAAACAGGAATAGCAATGGTACTACTACTTTAGGGTTCTTTGTGAAATATAGTACCAAGCACAAAGTGCTCACAAAATATTAATACGTCTCTAAAAAGGATTGGAAATAGTAAGCCTTTATATAGAAATATAGAATTTCCTGTTGTGTAATCTTCTGCTTTTTCCTAAGTATAAAGCAGAGAGATTTACTGGCCATCTTATCCTATATAATAAAACCTTAATATGCAAATCGACCAAACGATGAAATGACCAGCAGGGGCAGATGCTCAACGCAGGCTTCTGCCCTCTGAGAGGGAGGTAAGCAGTGACAGCAATTACCAGGCTGCTAGCCAAGGCAGGTACCAGCTGGGGGGGGAGGGGGGGGGCAATCACCTGCCCACCAGTCGCCCCACAGATAGCCCTGATTGCCAGCCAGGCAGGCCTAGGGGCCCTACCCTATATATTGGAAACAGTCTCCTAGATTTAAAAGTTAAAACCTGGCAAGGCTAATCTAAGACTGAAAAACAGGATAATGCAGCGATGACATGCATGGACTCCGGCTTGCACTTTTGGGGTCAGCTCTGATTTTGACACAACTGTGTGACAAAGCCAATTACTTAACTTCTCTCTGCTTCAGCTTTTCCACCAATAAGATGGGGAAAATGATACTACTGCCTCAGAAGGATTATGTTATGTACCACTTTTTATAATCAGGGCAAAAAAAATGTAGCTGCCCATACAATAGCAAGATGCCTTTCACCTGTATGTATAGTATGGTCACTGGTGCATGCAGCGTTCTGGATTGTGAGAGAAATGTCCTACTGCCAGTTTAGGCCCAACATCCGCCAAGGGGTCCCAGATTGTGAGAGGACGCAGGCTGGGCTGAGGGGACACTCCCCCACCCCCGCCCAAATTCGTGTACCAGGCCTCTAGCTGATAAGCTGCTTTTATGTAGACCATAAGAGTAATTAAATGATATCATATTTTCACACTGAAAAGAACTGCAGATGATGCTTCTACCCTGCACTGAAATGAGCTATGATTATAGCACCACCTGCAGGATAAAACGTTTCACACAAGAAATCAAAGTCGGGTAGTAATTTAGAAAACCATATTGAGATAAAGCAACAAGCTTATTTTAAGGATAGACACTAAAAGTGACAGAATATGAGTAAAGTTTGAGGGTAGAGAGAGAATAATATTTACAATTCACACATAAAACTGAACACTGCACCATAATTCTAATGTAAATGCTTGTATTCTATAGGCATGCAGCACCTGCTTCTGGATACTTGGGGGAGACATGGCAATTTGATGCATTTGTGTTAATTTAAAACATTCAAGTAAAGTTGACATTCCACAAATCTACATCATGTTTATCTTTATTTCCCATACCTCCAACAGTTACCAGTTTGATACGTGTCATCATAGATCACTGAATTGCCCTCTTCAATGTCACATAGTCAGCAACTTACACATCCGCAGACCACAGCTAAATAATTCAGAAACAGGAAAGAATGGCCAGGGCACACATGGCCACACGTCCGTCACACTTACCTGTACCAAGGAAGGCTTTGTAACTGTGGTTACCACGGTAGCTCCCATTTGTGCCAGTTGTTTAGCAGGTGCCACGGCCACTTTCTTGATTAACTGTGAGTTAGAATTCTGGGGGTTGGAGAGATAATACAGAGTCATCAGCATTAGTAACTTAAAATCAACCAGTACTGGGGAAAACATTAAAACACTTTACCGTAGCAAATTTCTTCGTTATACCTGGCTTTCTAACCTTATATATATTATGTACATTCTCTACTATGAACCTAACTGGTCAATCGACCAGTTGATATTTCATATACGTAAAGAAGCAAGTGATTTAACAAATAAGTATCAAATTATTTCAGGATAAATTTCCAAACTCGACTGTATGGCACACATAGAAAACACAGATTCTTATTTGCTATCAGTGATAAAAAATAATAATAATAATATAAAATAAAATAAAATAAAGTCTGCTAATCTATCTTCTCAACCCACTGCAGTTAGATAATACAGCAAACCAGAAAGGAAGGAGTAGCTGTTAGTGACAGATACAGTAATGAGAAAAGGACAGGTTGAAAACCCAGGATCAAATCAGAAGACTAAAACTGGGGGGTGGGGAAATTTAAACTGGCAGAGAATGGCATTACCACAGAGAACAGTGCAATCTTTCTTTAGGATGAGCCTGACTCATCAAGAAAATGCTATACTATATTCAGCACTTTCTATTTCATCAAAGAAAGATGCCCATAGTATGTGTGTGTGTGTATATATATTTTAACTCAGGCACACAAAATAAGCGTCAGGTACCTGGAAAGATCATCATGTATGGAAAATAAGTTAGTTCTGTACAATGCCAAGTTGATAAAATACTACATCAGAGTTCTGAATTTCTTAAGGGTAATTTCTATAAGCTATGGATAAAAGTATATACTAAACTACAGTCTTAATTAATATTTTGCTATAAATTAAAATTGAAGCAGAATGGCTTTCTTTCTACTTAAAGATACAAATAGCCCTTTGAACATTCCCTTAAAAACTACAGAATCTTTGAGTATGAAGACTGAATTTTTATTGTTTTAGCAATCAGCAAATGACAAAATCAAGTATCCTGATAAATTAAAGAAAATGGGGGGGGGGGGGGGGGGAGTGAAGGTATGTTACCGGCATTGCACAGATTTTGACTGTTTGAGGATTCGCTGGTAGAGCCGGCCTTGAAATTATGGTACTTGTAGTCTCGGCTCTTGTTACAGGTTGCTGAGGAGATACCAACATCAACTGACCACTGTTACTTTTGATCAAAACTGTTCCTATATTGAAAAATAAAAAAAAAATTGACGTAGCATTATCATCAGATATTTCTTCTCCTAATTCTTTCAATAATGTAAATGGTCTGAAAAAGTGATTATTACACACTGAATTCCATAACAACTAATCTATATATATAAAAACCTAAGCAACCAAAATGCCGAACGATCAGAACAACCAGGACAACCAGTTGGTATGACACGCACTGACCACCAGGGGCAGATGCTCAATGCAGGAGCTGCCCCATGATGGACAGTGCACTCCCACAGCCACCCTCCTGAAGCTGGCCAACATCCCCTGGCCCCTCCCCCTGGGCTGCCAGCCCAAAGGCCCCTATAGGCCCTGATTGCTGGCCAAGCCTAGGGAACCCACCAGTGCATGAATTTCATGCACTGAGCCTCTAGTTATCATAAATAATATAAAAATGTTGTTAATCAAACCTAGTTAAAAGTCTAAGTATATGGCTGAAACCTTTCTGGAGGAGGCAAAATACTTTTTTCTTCATGACATGAAACTATAAAGCTACAGTAAGACATCATGAGTAAGAAGGCATGGTAAAACTATACAAACTGACCAATGGAACAAAACAGAGAAGCCCAAAATAGACTCATACATATATGTAATATTGAGTTTTCCTAAGAAACCCTGCAGATCAGTGAGAAAGAGAGACCGACTATGCAGTAAACAGGACTAGGTCCATGCATTATCTATATGGAAAGACGGAAAACTTCACACCATCCACAAAAACCACTCAAGAATCAAGGGTAAAAAAGTTAAACCTTTTAAACTCAATATAGAAAATTATCACTCTTAACTTGGAATAAGAATCTCTTAACTATACAATGTTTGATATATTGTATTTGACTATATCAAAAGAGCTTTTGTTTAGCAAAAGACCACCAAGTAAACAGACAAACCACAAGATAAGAGAAATTTTTAGCTCACATATAGTACTAAAGGGACAAATGTCCAAAATGAACAAAAGGAACAGATGCCAATGACAGGGAAAGGTAAATTAAGACCCCAGTGAGATCCAAAACTGGTTTGGCTCGGTGGTTAGAGCATTGTCCTGCGGACTGAAAGGTCCCAGGTTTGATTCCAGTCAAGGGCATGTGCCTTGGTTGCCGGTGCATCCCCAGTGGAAGGTGTGCAGGAGGCAGCTGATTGATGATTCTCTCTCATCGGTGTTTCTAGCTCTCTATCCCTCTCTCTTCCTCTCTTTAAAAAAATCAATAAAATATATATTTTTAAAAAGACCTCAGTAAGATATCAATTTATATTTACCAGATAGGCAAAAATTAACAAGTCTTGAAAGGCATTTGCTCATTTCATGTCTCTGTGTCACATTTTGGTAATTCTTGTGATATTTCAAAATTTTTCATGTTATTATATTTATTATGATGATCTGTGATCAGTAATCTTTAATTTTCTTGTAATTGTTTTGGGGTGCCACAATGCCCATGTAAGATAGCAAACTTAATAAATGCCATGTGTTCTAACTACTCCACTAAATGGCAAGCAATTTCCCCCATCTCTATCCCTTTTTCCCAAGACACACCAATGAAGTTAGTAATATTAACCCTACGAAGGTTCCTCACTGTTCCAGTGAAAGGAAGAATCCCAAAGCTAGAAATGGAGTGGGACAGGCATATCTAAAGCTGAGACAAGCTGAAAACGGAGCTTCCTGCACCAAACAGTTAGTAATGCAAAGGAAAAGTCTTGAAGAAAATTAAAAATATTACTACTCCAGTGAACACATGAATCATAAGAAAGCAGAACAGCCTTGTTACCGATATGGAGAAAGTTGTAGTGGTCTGGGTATTAGATCAAACCAGTCACAGTATTCTGAGTAAGCTGAAACCTAATCCAGAGTGAGGCCCTAACCCTCTTCAATTCTCCAAAGGCTGAGAAAAGTGAGGAAGCTGCAGAAGAAAAGTCTGAAGCTAGCAGAGGTGGGTTCCTAAGGTTTAAAAAAAAGGAGCAATCTCCGTTAATAAAAAGAGAAGAGATCTAGCTAAGACAATTAATGGAGGTGGTTCAGGTGACACAGGTTTGCAATGTCGATAAAGGGCCTTACTTTGGAAGAAGGTGTCATCTAGGACTTTCACAGCTAGAGAAGTTAATGCCTGCTTCCAAATCTTCAAAGGACAGGCTGACTCCCTTCTTAGGGGCGAATGCTGCTAGTGACTTGAAGTTGAAGCCAATAATCCTCATTTACCATTCCCAAAATTCCTAGGGCCCTTAAGAATTATGCCAAATCTACTCTGCCAGAACAAAAAGCCTGGTTGACAGCACAAGGGTTTACTGAATACGCTGAACGAACTCTTGAAACCTACTTCTCAGAAAAGACTCCTTTCCAAAGAATACTGGTCACCCAACAACACTGGTGGAGACCCACAATGAGATTAATGTTTCTGTGCCTGCTAACCCAACAGCCCTTGGATCAAGGATTAACTTCAACTTTCAAGTCTTATTGTCTACACCACATGTGTCAAACACAAGGCCCGCGGGCCAAATCCGTCCCGCCAGGCCTTGCAATGTGGCCCGCACCGCGCTGTCATCACTGCCCTCTGCTGCGTTTCCATCACAATGACAGTTTATGACTGTTCAGTAAACCATTCGGCCCACGATTTAGGCTGGATTTTAGATTTTGGCCCCTTCTCTGATTGAGTTCGACACCCCTAGTCTACACTAATAAAAGAGCAGCATACTAACTGACCATACCTTCACAACACTCACCAGCCAATCAGGTGGTTTAATTTGCATACACAGGCACCAAGAGTTAGTAATATTAAATGGGGGTGGGATGGGACACTTGCATTGTCACTACGGTGACGGCATTCTGCACCACCCCAGCCACTCTGGCCTCTGGCCAGTGTGTGAAGGCAGAATGGCTGCTCTGGGCCGGAGTGAAAGGGCGGCTCCGGGCAGAGTGAAGGCGGTGCTGGCAGCCAGGGGAAGAAAGGCCCATTCTTGCAGGAATCTTCGTGCATCGGGCCTCTAGTTTAATAATAAGAGAGAAATGTGCAAATGGACCAAACAGCAGAACACTGGTCGCTATGATGCACACTGACCACCAGGGGGAAGATGCTCAGCCACAAGCCGGGCTGACTGCTGGCAAGTGCAGCAGTGGTGGCGGGAGCCTCTCCAGCCTCCAAGGCAGCACTAAGGATGTCAGTCAGACATCCCCCCAGGGCTCCTGACTGCTAAAGGGCGCAGGCAGGCTGAGGGTCCACCCCTCCCACTGCATGAATGTCCTGCACCGGGCCTCTGGTTATTTAATAAAGAAATCTATTATAGTTTGTACAGCTATAGCTGCCATAGATAGTGATTCCTCTGATGGATCTAGGTAAAGTAAATTGAAAATTTTCTGGAGAGGATTCCCCACCAACAACACTCTCCCTCAACCCGCCACACCAGAGCTGTCCACCCATTCTCTATGAGTCTGTCTCAGTTTTGATTGTTAGTTCAATTAGATTCCACATGAGTAAAATCATATGGTATTTGTCTTTCTCCGACTAGCTTATTTCACTTAGCATAATGTTCTCCAAGTCCAGCCATGCTGTCACAAAAGGTACTATTTTCTTCCTTTTTATGGCGAGTAGTATTCCACTGTGTAAATGTACCATAGATATTTTATCCACTCATACACTGATGGACACTTTGGCTGCTTCCAGTCTCGGCTACTGTAAGTAAGTCTCAATGTGGCCTCCTCTGGAAGTCCTTGGTTACAAGGCTTCTCTCCAGCTGCTCTTCAGATGGTTACTATTCAGGATGAGTTTTCTATGCTTTAATTGTAATTCAGGTTTGGTCCTGGGAGAAGGTGAGGGTAGCTTCCATCTAATCTGCTGCCATTTTGGATCCCCTATTTACATATTACTTAAACCAGTTCTGATCATAGAGGAAATTCTGAAGTAAAGAGAAATCAATACTTAAAGTATAGCATCAAATCTCGCTTCTCAAACGTCGCCCATCTCCAACAATTCAGTTCTCAACCAACTTATTCTCAGAAAAAAATGTGTCAGTTGTCAACCAAAACTTCAGAGTTCAACCAGACAACCCTCTCATGCTGATACCTCAGCATGACAAAAAGCCTCTCTCAGGCAACAAAGGAGAAAATGCTTTTGTTGCTGGTGAAATCGGGAATTAGTGAAATTTTAAACATAAAGAGGCCATTAAGAGTGCTAATGTCGCTGAGGGTGTGAACATGCTCACCAAACACAATAGCAGGCAACTGAATAGGTAGAAAAGTATTGTTGGCTGGTGTTGGATAAACTGAAAGCAGCTCAGCCAATGCTCTCGGTAGCAGCATTTCAGAGGCAGTGTTAAATGAAATATTTGTTTAAGGCTAAAGGGGGTTAGTTTGATATAAGAAGTGTTAATTTTTTATAGATTAAACAGCACATTAGATATGTATATGCATATGAGAAAGGTTAAAACAGGAAATCATTATGGGGATCTGGGATCAATTAATTTAATTTACATCATTTCTAATTAGAAAAAAATGATTCGGTCTTCAAACAAATCGCCTTCTGGAGAGAATTAAGTTCAAGATCCCAGGTTCCACTACCATGTATACTGTCCTTAAAGTATCAATTGCTAATGCTCAGTATGTAAAAGAAATGGTACAAGAATCATAACCTTGCAAAAACAATAGTGTTTCCATTTCATTCTTCAACTCTTGTTACCTTATTCTGCACGGATGAGAACACAGTGTGCTCCAGCCGCACATCAGCAAGAACCCGCACAAGCTGCTCTCAGAAGCACGCCCCCTCCTCTGGAGCAGAACGCCACTACAGGCACCTTATCTCCCCTCTTAGGAGTGTTTCTCCAGGGCCACAGGGTAAGATGTGCTGGTGCCACATACTTAGGCTGCGGCCCTGGTTTGCTATCTAGTGCTGGCAAGTTTCAGTCTGGTTTCTGCGTATAAAAAGATAGGCTTTAAAACTCTATAAATCACTTTTATCACTGATACCCAGTGAGGCATAACTGTACACACACCCCAAGTGGTAAACACAGTGCTGTGGAAAGAACAGCAAAACAGATCTGGATTCAGATGCCCTCTGACACCTATGAGCTTTGCATGGGGCACATTACCCTTCAGAATGGTGATTTGCTACCTATTATGACCAACAAACAAAAGAATACAAATGCATAAAAAGTGTCCAGCCCTCCATAGGTGATCAGTACACTCTCAGTAAGGGATCAGTTCCCACTGATCAGCACGTCTTCACTCTTGAAAGTTCTCCCGTTTTAACACTCTCTCTGATTGCTTATAAACAAACTTCACTGACTAAACAGCCATTTAGTTTCAGGAGATTTCACTCAAACACATCCACAACTCCTTCATAAGCAGGCACGCAGGATAATTCAGAACTAGGACATGGACCCAGGGATGCACACAGCTTAACAGGTGTATGCACCCTGTGTCCCATACCAAACTGACACAGAACTTGATCCGAAGCGACCAAACAGCACGTCAGCTACAAGAGAGACCCATCATTTCGGTTCAATCAAATGCTTGGACTTCCTTACCATCGCGGCCTGCCAGAGTTCCAAGTCTGCGAAGCAAACTTAACGAAGAGTTCGCTCCAAAGAATGTGCCATGAGCTTCCCAACCCCCGCAATTTCAAGAGGCTTTCAATTGAGGGAAGCAGTAAACACTCAAACATCCTTTACCGAATGTGTAATATGCAAACGATCAGCGCACAACCTTTGCATAAATCATGAGGAGCACCGATAGATAGAGCAGGCCTGGGATCAAGGAGGCCCCGGCCCCTCTCCGGGAGCACACAGGCTGCAGGCTCCGCTTCAGCCCTCCGGTGCCTGTCCTAGCCGCACAGGAAAGCCGCTCCAGCACCGCCACACAGCACCACCCTTCCCGGGCCTGGCAGTGCCCGCTGACAGAGAAAGGCAGTCACTGGCTTCCACCGAAACCCCCTTTCCGCTAACACGCAGGGCCTTCCGAATGCAGCTCAGAGCCTCCGCCTGTGCGGACGGCTGGCACCGGACGGCGCTGCCCGGCAGGGGCAGGGGCAGGGGCGGGGGCAGGGGCAGGGGCAGGAGCGGGGGCAGGAGAGGGGGCGGGGGCAGGGGCAGGAGAGGGGGCAGGGGTAGGAGAGGGGCAGGGCAGGGCAGGAGAGGGGCAGGAGAGGGGGCAGGAGCAGGGGCAGGAGCGGGGGCAGGAGAGGGGGCAGGGGCAGGGGCGGGGGCAGGGGCGGGGGCAGACTCGGCTTTCCCGGCCGCTGGGTGAGAAAGCCCAATGCCGCGGGGCCGCGAGGGGGGGACTCCGGGGCCCCGGGCCCGCAGGGGGAGGACGGGGCCCCTCGGCGGGGCATCCCGGGGCTTCCCGTCAGCTGCCCTGCAGGAGGCGCCTGTCCCTGCGGGCTGGGCGAAACGACCCCGCAGGGGGACCACCTACGTGGGGTTGCGCCACCCTGTGGGCACCCACCCACCTGGCGGCAGCGCCACCCTCAGGGCACCCACCCACCTGGGGGCAGCGGTCCCTCAGGGGCACCCACCTACCTGGGGGCAGCGCCACCCTCAGGGGCACCCACCCACCTGGCGGCAGCGCCACCCTCAGGGCACCCACCCACCTGGGGCAGCGCCACCCTCAGGGCACCCACCTACCTGAGGGCAGCGGGGACCCTCAGGGCACCCACCCACCTGAGGGCAGCGGGGACCCTCAGGGCACCCACCCACCTGGGGGCAGCGGTCCCTCAGGGGCACCCACCTACCTGGGGGCAGCACCACCCTCAGGGCACCCACCTACCTGGGGGCAGCGGGGACCCTCAGGGCACCCACCCACCCCGGGCAACGCCACCCTCAGGGCACCCACCCACCTGGCGGCAGCGGTCCCTCAGGGCACCCACCCACCTGGCGGCAGCTGGAGGTGCGCCGGCAGCTGGATGGCGGCGGCGGGCGCCTTCACGGCGACGATCTGCGCGGCGGGCAGCGCGCTGACAGGAGCCACCGGCGCCGCCAGGGTGCCCGCCGGGGGCCGCGGGGGCTGGGCGGCCGCGGGCTCCACGCGGACCTGGACGGCGGCCTTGGCCACGGCGCCCGGGGCCGCGGAAGCGCCCTCCGCCCGGCCCGGCCGCGCCCCGGCCAGGGAGCCGCCGGCCGCCAGGGGCGCGGGGCCGGCCGGCTGCGGGAGGCCGGCGGGCATGGCGGGCTCAGCGGCCGCGGCGCGGCTCCGGGAGCGCGGGCGGGCGCAGGCGGGTCCCGCGGCGGCCGGCTGCGGGCACCGGCCGGCTCCTCAGCATCTCCGGGCGGAGCGCGGCCGGCGCGGGGCCGCTGACAGGCGCCGCCGGCCGGGACGCGGGACCCGGCGCCGAGCGCTCCGCCGCTCCCTCCGCGGCGTCCGCACGTGCGACGGCCCCGCCCGGCGCCTCGCCCGTCCCGCCGCGGAGAGAGCCCGGCGGCGCGGCTTCGGCAGGGGCGTCCGCGAGGCGCTCGCCGCCGGCCGCGCTCCGCCGCGCTCCCCGCCACAAGTTTCAAACCCTCGCGCCGCCGACCCCCCGCCGCCGCGCGCAGCCCCCGCGCGCCCGCGCCCGCGCTGTTTATATAGCCACGCGGAGGCCCCGCGCACGCGCACCGTCCCCGCCCCGCCGCCCTGGGCTTTCCCGGAACCCGGACGCGTGATTGGCCGCGGGCTGGAATCGCGCTCGTGACGTCACGGGGGCGGTGCCAGGGGCGTTAGCATCTTTCCCGGGATCCAGAGGGGGGCGGGGCGAGGGAGCGGAGGGCCAGCGCGAGGGCGGGACCAACGTGTGGGCGGGGCCAGCAGCCTTAGCATCTTCCCCAGGATCCACAGGGAGGCGGGGCGAGCGGGAGGAGGCCCAGCGTGTGGGCGGGGCCAGCCTGTGGGCGGGCGGAGGCCCAGCCTGTGGGCGTGGCCAGCCGCGCACCTAAAGCTGCGCATCCGCCTTCGCATCTGCCTTCCCCTCCGCGCGGTGCCCGCGGCGCGATCCTTAAAGGCCGGGTTGAGGCTCTCCACCCGCAGATAATTTATAAGCAGACTCATGGAGGCTGGTGTTGGACAACAGGAACTTGGTAGTAAACACTGCCAGGCTTCCTCAGCGTCGGTCTGAGGGCTTGGCTCTAAGGCCAGAGCTGAAATTAACATTACAATCGACAAGGTGAATGTTTTCAAGGTCCTCGTCTTTTAAATGTTTAGGAACGTTGCATAGTCTGTAAGACCTGCCTATTTTCATGTAATTTGAGAGTTGAGCTGCCCCGTAGGAAAATCCGCTCCCCTCCGCGCTGCTATAGAAGTCTCCATCACCCCAGCTCACTCAGATTACTTCCGCCCCCGTCTCCTCAAAAACGGGGACCGTGTCTGCTGACTTGGATCTTTAAATTCAATCCTAGACATTCTTTGAATAAAAGTGCTCATTGAATGAATCAATAATACAGTCTCATGTGGATTTCCACAAAAATGTTTTGATTTCTGACCATTGTAATAATATGACACTTTTATAGGAACTGACACTGTCCTGAGAGGGATTTTGCAAGCAGATTTTGCAAGTTTGCAAGGCGACCTGAAGTTTAAGGCTTTGGTCCTCTCCCTCCACGTAAAACCCAGTGGACAGGTGCTCCGTGCTCACAGGCCTGCAGTCTCCCACACCTCGAATCCGGACCAAGAACCTATCCCATGGACAGATCCATCGCACCCCTCAATCCATGCAGACGTGAATGATCACTGACCTCTCGGAAATCTCCTCCAAGTGGAGTTGTTGGGGGGTTGGAAGGAAAGCTAAATTAACTGAGCACCTGTGCGTGTGCTGGTCACTAAGAGATGCATTTCCCTGTTTCTTCCAACTCCCAACAACCACCTCGCCTTACTGGTGTGAACACTGCCTTTAAAAGAGGGGTTTCTCCAAGAAGTTGGATTCAAACTGGTCCGTATGGTGTCAAAGGACACCTCTTTCCACTGCTCCACAAACCTCTGACTCACCGTGCATCCCACACCGCCTCTGGCACAATGTCTTGCGCATACAAGGTATTTAATAAATAGATGCTAAGTGACTTTGTTAAAGGAGCCGTGCAACATTTTCAGTGAAATGGATTTGAACCCGGAGCTGCTCTTCCAGCTCGGCAAACTTCAGCCTGGGCATTTTTCTCTCCAGAGGCTAGAGTTCAAAGTGTGCTCTGAGAACACTCCAGACCCCAACTCCCATTAGACCACCACCCTCAATTCACACATTTTTCTTAGGAAAGGTGAGTAACCTCAAGCAAGCTACAAAGAGGCTTTGCAGAGAAAGCACACTTTCTCCTTAAGGTGACCTGGCATATTTTTCTTGTAACGTTTTGTCTGCTTTATAGCTTGGTTCACTGATGGGAATTTTAATTTTCCAGTCGCAAAGAACATGCTCCTTACTCAGCACAGAAACGACTGTCCTGAACTTAGAGTTTAGGAATAATTTCGTTCACTGCATTTCCTTCCTATAGAAGCATACTAATAAAACAGGACATGCAGGAAGGCAACAGGCATGTTATCCTCTATGCAAGACAAGAAAAAAAAATGGCAAAGAATACAGCTCGGTTTTATTATGTTTATCGGTTAAAATATTGGTAAAATTAAAGATACTGAAAAATACGTACCCATTTACCTTATGTCCTAGACCAGTGGTCGGCAAACCGCGGCTCGAGAGCCACATGTGGCTCTTCAGCCCCTTGAGGGTGGCTCTTCCACAAAATACCATGGCCCGGGCGAGTCTATTTTGAAGAAGTGGCGTTAGAAGAAGTTTAAGTTTAAAAAGTTTCAAACGAAATTTCAATCTTTGTCCTGTTAATCTTTGGCTCTATTGACTCATGAGTTTGCCGACCACTGGACTAGTCCCTTTGAGCTGCTGTAACAAAATACCATAGCCCGATGGCGTAGAAAGAGCCGAGATGAAACTCACAGTTCTGGAGGCCGGAAGTCAGGTAGGGTGCGGGCGAGGCCAGGTGAGGGCTTCTGGGTGACCTCACAGGGAAGAGGGGGGAGGGTCTTTCTGGATCCTTTTAAGAGGTACCTATTCCATTTCCCAGAGCTCCTCCCTCCACACCTAGGCGCCTCCCAAAGGCCCGCCTACTAACACCACGGCCTTAGGGAATTGAGATTTCAAGATTGAAAGGCGGGGAGACCCAGACATCGAGACAAAGCACGACGGCAAAACCGGTGTGGCTCAGTGGATGGTGATGCCAAGCCAGCGCTGAGCACCGGGTTCACGTGCGCCCTGCGCAGGGTGGTGCCCCCCCATCCCGCCTGGGAGAGCACCCCCGGGCGTGCTGAGCGCTTCAGTGGGCGCTGATCGGATTGCGGGGCGCTGGCATTTGGTTTCAGAAGCCAGCAGGTGACAGGGAGCACAGGCGCCACTTTAATCCCACGTTTCAAAGAGGAGGGTACAGAGCGAGCCACGGAGTCCATGGCTCCAGGCAACCAGAAAGGCAGGCGGGCATGTCAGCGTGGAGTGGGGTGTGCACTCCGCCCAGAAAACGGCCCCCACCCTGGCTTCATGGGGCGGGGGGAGGCCCAGGAGGAATGGGGGGGTGGGTACGCGGCGGGGGGGGGGGGGGGGGTGGCAATGGGGGCTCTTTCTATCCTGAAATTCTGCCTGGCGCCCCCTGGCCTGCTCAGAGCATGGCGCCCGAGTCTTCTCACCTTCTCCTTGAGCTCTGCACTTCTTTGAAAGAATTCAACCTCCCTACTTCCTGTTTCCAAAAGGAACATTTTAAAAAGAGGCAAAGCTCTGAAATGATAAGGCAGAGGGGTTTTGTTTTTATCCCATCTGATATCCTTTGCTTTAAAAACAACTTCCTTCCCGGCATTGCGCACCTTCTTTCCCTGGGCCCCGGTAATCCCCCTCTGCGGGAGGGTCACTCTGTATTCCGTGTTCCTGTCCGAGCCAGCACAGGCCCGCACTCAGGAACAAGCACCATCTATTGGATGATCATGTGATGAATCTATCACACGGGGTATACTGACGATAAAATACCAATCAGAACTAAGATCACATGTATTCACTTCTCTCCTTATTTTCTTAGAGAACCCTGTTCAGATGATATACTGCAACTTATAAAATGCAAAAGGTTAAATAAATATGGTAAAATATTTAAAAATGAAGGAGACTGACAGAATTTTGACAATTCACCAACACAAGGTGATTTTATCATTCATTTAGAAATGCCACTCAGTATTATTCAGTCTGTTTTCAAATAGATATCTCTCTACCTGACAGTCAATACTCAAAAGTCACCAAATTATTCACTTTTTTAATTAAAATTTTTCTTAATTTTCATGCATGAAGAAATAAAACATTGGACAAGTTATAGAGTATAGTCTCAAGCTCATGTGGAATTATGACTGCTTTCAACAGTTACTCAAATATTTTCAAAGAAAATCTGCATATTCTTGTATATCTGTCCCTGTAATATACTAAAGAGACTCACCAACCTGTAGTCTCAAACAGCACATAACTACTAATGCAATGCCATAAGCCAGCATATTTCCTTTAAAACTCACTAAATAATCCTAAGCACAACACAACACTAAAAGCCCTCAGTGTTCACAGGTTCTTCTTTGGTTTTTTCTTCTCTGCTTCTTCCTTTTCCTTTTCTATTGCAATGACCTGTAATTCAATTTCCTTGGCACTAAACATCTGAAAAGAAAAAAAAATTAAACAAATTGCAATTATACCAATCATTTCTAAATATTTACAATATGAAAAGAACCTACTATCTACATAGAATCCCAGCAACTGGATGGCAGAGGACCTGTGGCTATGACACACACTGCAGCAGCCAACCAGCCTGATCCAGGCCCTGACCGGACCCCACTCACCGGCCCTGCCCCTGATAAGGGTGTTGGGGTTAATTGGGGGGGGGGGGGGCAGCTGGCCAACCACCAACAGCCCCTCCTCCCACTGGCCCTGCCCACCCTGATCAGGGGCAGGGCCGGCCAGACCTCACCCGTGCACAAATTCGTGCACCGGGCCTGGAGTATGTTATAAATTTCTATTATCTATTTATAACTTCAAATACATAATGAAGTGTTTCAAAGAATCAACAGCAACATACTTTATTAGGGACAAAACCCAGAACTCGATGACATTTCCAGTACTGTGTGCTAAAGGAAGAAGCAGGGCAAAATGTGACATTGCTTACATATCCCACATCAAAATGTGACTCTAAAACTGTGTCAATGCCAGACCCACGCTGTTCATGAGCAGATAACTCATCAATGCCTCCACCCTCCTCGCTGTGATTCTCCGAGAGGGTGTGACTAGTTTTTATCAGCTCATATCCCTTAGCCATAAGGGATAAGGAAAGGATGATTCACACTGCTTATTTACAACTTCCTCGCGGAATTCAAAGCAAAAATGATGTTTCTTTTATTTGAATCATTTTTATTTTACTTAAAGTCAAAAGACTGGAGCAAGTTACTCAAGGACATACTGTTAAACACACTGACCCGCTAGGACTTAAGTCCAGGTCTGACCCACTCCAAAGCATGTGTCCTACCTGCCCCGCAGCCTGTCCTGAGATACCATGTGAAGGACACACACCGGCCTGCCACTCAGGGGTAAAAACACGTGTGTGGGGGGGGGGGGGGAGAAGGAGCGAGAGAGGTGCCTCTGGCCTGTGGTTCTGTGTCCCTGCGCTGTTGGCACATATGTCCCGGGTCCCTTGGCAGTGGGGCTGATAACTCAGCCCAGTTCCCATCTCCAGTCGATGCTCAGCAGCCTGTTACCATGTACGGCCCTGTAGGGAAAGACCCACCCCCACCCATTTCTCTAATTCACTGAAACTGCTGCTGGCCTAGCCTCACGTCCCCGTTCACTGGCTAACTAAAAACATATGGAGATGTGGTATCATTACAAGAATCCCCCCAATTCAAAACCAAAACCAAAACCCCACTCACACACAGCGCTGATTTCAACACTCATTTCTCTTGAACATTTTCCCTACAACCAAAGGTACACGTGAAAGAATATTTCCCATCTCTGAGTGCTTCTGTATATTCAGCTAGAGAACTAACCGGCCCACCACACTGCACAGCTCTGCCTCATGGACAGCAGAGAACCATGTTTGGAAAGCTCATTAGCCAATGAGTCCGCTATCATCAACTCAGAGCCCTTTATCACATTGTCTGGACAATTTACTTTGTGGCCCAGCTGCTGTCACTCAGAACGGCTGACAAAAGGTATACAAACAGCAGTGCTAGACTCACTGGAAAGGAACGGGGAACGGGCATCACACGAGGTGTTAACATTTAAGTCAACAGTGGCTCAAGGCACTTCTACGTGGAAAGCACAGGAAACAGATAAAACCCAGTGGGCAGTCCAGATCAGGGGGAGATTTGTTGACATGTGAAGACCACATGATGGTGGAGGCCTGGCGGGCCAGCAGTGATATAAGTGGCAGCTGAATAACACTTGCTGGAAACATATCTTGATTTTGGAAGATCCAAAAATATAGGAGAGCAGCTGCTCTCTAAGGTGGCGGGAAGGAGTCTCCATGGGGACCGTGCTGTGCTGCCCCTGACGTTCTGACCCAGCAGGGTCCCTACCTTTTAGGACGGGCGCGCGCGCGTGCGCGCGCACACACACACACACACACACACACACACACGCACGGGAGTCTGTTCACTGGCCTCAGTGCCTCCGGGCCTCACAAAGGCGAGGGAGCGGTGACTGCTCACAACAAGCATGTCACAGGAGGGAGCCTTCGCCCAGAAACACACCAGAAGCTGCCATCACGGCGCTGGTGCTTGGAGCGTTCAGGCTTATCATGAAGATGCAGGCGTCGCATCTTAACTTCTGTCAGACACACGACACTCTTCCCGCTGGGAACCACTTACTTTCAAAGGTTGGTTTCTTCTCATGATAGCAAGGTCAATGTTTTTCCCACCGGACTGGACAACCTAACATAGAACAAGTCGGTATTAGAATGACTTCGGGAAATTGTGTTTTCATAAGCAATGAAAGGAGGACAAACACCTCTGCTTTTCTGAATATCCTTCACTAGAGGCCCAGTGCACGAAATCCGTGCCCTGGTAGGGTCCCAGTACTGCAGGCCAGGCCTCCCTGTTCCCGCTGCCTGCTGCCCTGCGGGAGGGGCCTCCCTCCCTCCCCAGGCAGGCCCCGCCCCCGGGCTGACTCCCAGAGGAACTCCCAGCTTTTATCATGTAGAATTAGATCACTTACTTCTAGCAAAGCTCTTATTGCTAGTTTGATAGCTTCGTTGTCGTTAGCTATAGCATCTTCTGTGTAATTCTTTTCTAGAAATTCTCGGACAGTTTTAGCACTTCGGCCTATTGCATTTGCCTTGAAAAATAGAAGATAGCTCTTACTAATACTGCAACATGAAGGAATTTATAGTTACTAAGTGAAGTTTGAAGATTGAGAGTTTACTCCAGCATTTCTTAGCGTAATTGTAAGATGAAAGATGTAGGTTTGAAAACTTAGCGAACATTTCAACCCCTCATTGGTCCTACATGACTAATCTGTAGTGACGGCAGGAGTAATACTCAGATACACCCGTGCTTTATACTGGCCAATGTGTCTGTCGCTTTAATACTAGTTCCCAGGTTCCTGACCGCTGGGATAGACTGAAAGAGCTGACGTCCTGGGAACTTAGACCAACGTATGTACACTAGTTATCACATCCGTTATCTTCTTTGGCTTTATAAGCAAAAGGGGCTGCTTCTGGGCCAGGCCCCACTTGTCGATGGGCTTCACAGTTTCTCACCAATCAAAGGAACAGGGAACAGCCGTGCCTGGCTGCGTGGGTGCTTTTCCCTCAGTCTGTTCCCGGCTAGTCCAGCGGCGGGCATGATGGAGACGACAGGATCCACACGCACAGAGCACGGATGTGCCAGCTCTGCCGTGTGCATTTTACATGAATCATCTCACCCCACCGACCTCCCCCAAACAAAGAAAGAGGTAGCATCATCCCAGTTCAGCGTGGGGAGACGCAGGGCGGGAGAGGTTACAGGGAGTTTTCTTACCCTCCACTCGACTGACAGGTGGGAACACATCGTTCTTTGCTGGGGGGGTGGGGGCTGTCCTGTGCCTGCAGGCTGTGAGCAGCTCTGCCCAGTGATGCCAGCCGTGAGGACCACGTGTCCTACCCCTCGCCAGGTGTCCCTGAGGGGACACACAACCCCATTTGTCACCGCTGGCTGAAGTGATCATGTCTAATGTCACATGGGGTAACATGAAACAGCCCCTATGGTGCTGGCGCTCCCCTGTGCATGACCGTGTGGTTCTGCACAGAAGACGCATGTCCTCCTGTGGGAAGTGGTCCGGAGGGGTCCGGGGGGGAGGAGGTGGTGGTGTGGGAGGGAGGGGGAGGCCACACGGAGCTCCGGTTGCATGGAGCTGGCTGGTGGCGTGAGTGCTGTGCCATCACCATCATTACTCCCACCTTTCACTTCAAACGTGAGTGAGCAAGTGTGCTAACGTGTCAGCCCATTTACCCGGTGAAAACATGCATGCGCTGATGCTATGTTCGCAGTCTCAGGTGTATGTTTGAAATGTTCACTGAACAGTCCTTTCTTCACGGAGAACTCCCAGCTCCGACGACCACTCACACGGAGTTCCAGGCACGTGAGCCTTTTAGAGTCTCTCCTTTTGTCTTCCACTTTCCTCTACGTCACCAACCCCCTCACTGCACCACTTCCATAAATGCATTCATATCCCAAAACATCCCAGCCACTCTACTTCTCCCGTCACACCTCATGTCCACTAAGCAAAGCCTCACACCGATCCTCATAGCAAAATAAAACCAGCACCAAACTCAAATCACCTAGTTTTAAAAATGATTATTTTAGAAAGAGAGAGAGAAGGGAGAGGGAGAGCCGGCAGCTGGCGCTGAACCGGGACTGGCGCTCAAAGCCAGCCGCACCCACAGAAGCTGCCGCCAGGGGTGAGGATGGCGCTGCGATGCCCCGGCGCAGGGTAAGCCCCGCGGGGCGCTCCGGCCGGAGAGCAGAGGCCGCACTGGAGTTACCGTGTGGCGCCCACAGGCTGCCCCGCTTCAGAAAGGCAGGCCGCCCGCTTCTGCAGAGCAGAGCCCCTGGCGCAGGGTCCCGGGAGGACGCGATGGGCGGGAACTGGTGTCCTCACCTGCCGTTCGCGGACACTGAGGTGTGCCATCTTCCCAACTAAAGGGAGAGCCCTGTGACTACGAAGCCAGGGTCTCTCTGTCCACCAGAAGCCAGCACAATTGCCGACTAGCTGGGCGGTTACAGCGATCCTACCGCCCTCGGTACCTAATGTGACATTCCGGTAACTTTCACCAGGCCCCGAAGGCGATGGAGCGTGTCCAGTGACAGCTGCTCACTTCTCCTAACGGTAACATCCGCGCCTCACCTTCCAGGCGTGGTAGGTGCCGGAGGGGTCGGTCTGGTACAGCCTGGGAATGCCGTCGTCGTCGAAGCCGACAATCAGGGCAGAAATGCCGAAAGGCCTTCGCCCGTTGCTCTGCGTGTATTTCTGAAAAGTAAACGTTTCGGAAGTTACTTTCTCTACAGGCCACGCAAGGGCCATACTACCTACTGCTTACCAAGTAACACATCGTATCCTGTGTATCTCATTCTGTACATCTTCCCGTTCTCCTCCCTCACTTTCTGGGCTAACCTCAAATCCATAATGAAATTTTAAAAACGTGCACAGTCTATAAACCATATCCTACGTTTACTTCTACATGGCTTACTGCGGTTTCCTGTTGGCTGATGCACAGCTGGGTAACACACAGGACTGGGCCTTTGTAACACAGCAGAGAGCTGTGCACCTGCCCCGTCTGGCTCCGGAAAGCTGATCAGTTAGCTGGGCCTTAGACCGCTCCTCCGTTACCGCAAGAGACACACTGCTCTTACCGTCAAGCTCTCTTACCGACACTACTGCTACCAATGCTTTTCTTGGCGCTGTCTTTGTCAGGTATACTGTCCACAGGACACTAAGTTACTCCTCATAAAACCCAACCCAGACACTGTCAGCTCCAGGACAAGGCCCTCTTTGTTTCTCTCAAAGAAAATGCGGGCTTTTTCCTCACAGTCAACCGGGCACTGGAGACCAACTGTGTTTTTCACCTGAGCGCCAGGATCTGAGCTCCATCCCGGAGCGGAACACACTCTCCCCCTGCGCCTGAGCCCCCAGAACGCAGAGGGTCCTGACCGGCAGCTGGAGGCCACCTGCAGGCGCTCAGCAACGTGTGCAGCACAGCGGCCCGCACAGCTCTGCACCAGCTTTCTCCTGGCCTGGCCTGGCGCTGTATCTGTGTAAGATGTCTACGTCCTGTTATGTATGTGGTTAATATCCAATTCTAAGTATGGATGCAAACAACGGGCTATACAAACACAAACACACCTTTAAAGCAGGGCCTATGTCTTAATTTCTCTGTATCTCCTAATGGCCCCAGGTCACACTGACATATGAAGATGCTTGGCAAACACACCTTAGAGGACAGACCTTCTACTTCATGTGCTTGTCAACCGCTTTTTAAAATGAAAGTAACATGTGCACATGGTCAAAACATTCAGTACCAACGGTGTATCTGAAGCATCTCTCTTTTATCCAGAACCCAGGACCCTCCTCAGTGGCAACTTGACTCTTACGGACTTAAATGTATCTATCAATATATATGTAACCCCATAACATGAAGTGGACTGAACGGCCGAACAACTGAACAACCCGTCACTATGACGTGCGCTGACCACCAGGGGGCGTGTGCGGAACATGGTGGGTTTCAGCAGCAAGCAGCAGAGCACTGAACATGGCGGGCACAGGCCGTGGTGGGATGGAGGAGCAGGGGAGAGGGGCACCAGACCAAGGCGGGGTGCTGGTTGCTGTCATTGGGGCGAGCCTCTGGTGGTCACTGGAAATTCTCTGCTCTCGCACACCTCTGTCCTGCTGGTGCTCACACCTGCTGCCGGTGCCGGCCCCCTCACACCTGTCAGCTCCCAGCACCAGCCCCAACCACTCAGCGCCATCGGCAGTGCAAGCGGCTGCCGCCCCAATCCCTCTCCCCCTGCTCCTGAGGAGACATCAGGGCTAGCAGCTGCTGCTCACACCTGCTGCTGGCACCGGAGCCCCTGCTCAAACCAGCTGCCGGTGCCGAGCCGGTCCTGATAGCCCCGAGGGTTTCTCCACCTCCCCTGCTCCTGAGGGGCGATTGGGGCAGCGGCCACCGCTTGCACCTGCTGCTGGTGCTGGCCCCAATAGCTCGGCCCCATCAGCAGATGCAATGGGGCTGGTGGTGGTGGTGGCAGAAGCAGGCCTGGTAACAAACAGGCGATGGGAGGGTGGCTGTGGTGGGAGGGGCCAGGTGGCCAGGTGGAGGATGAGCCGAGACCCAGCCCTGTGCCCACTGCAGCCTCATGGCTCACATCAGGATGCACGAATTCATGCACTGAGCCCCCAATCTATTATATAATAATAAAAGAATAATATGCTAATTAGACTGGGCAGCTGAACGTCCTTTCAGACGTCCTTCTGGATGACCTTCCGGATGAAGCTGGGGCTGCGAGGGCCAAGCTCTTTGCACGAATTCCAATGCTTCGGGCCTCTAGTGTTTCTATAATATTCTACACATAACCTTCATGTTTCTGGAAGAAAACCTAAAAATTACAATTGGGAATCTTGTATATACAATGTCCCACACCTTAATTTTTGGTGGATACCTTTACACACTCTGAAAAAAGCAGAGCAAATAAAAAAAGCAAAAGAAATATAAAAATGTTAGACTTTCTTTAACATAAATTAAATTTTAAAAATAGGGCAATTTAGAAATAAGTATGTAATTTAAAACTTTTATAGAAACTATGGTCTATAAAAAATCTCTATGTGGACAGATGGTAAAATCCAGCCAGAAAGTGTTCTAAATGTTTTAAATCATTTAATCCAACTCAACAGAGTAGGTATTCCTGTAATGCTCATTATATAAATAATAAAATTAAGGCAAAACAGGCTGAATAGTTGGCTCAAAGCACTAACTATGTTATACTTCTTGGCAAAATAAAAGAAAAATGAGAAACCAGTACTAATGCTCCTTCAGGGGTACATTTATACATTGCTCATTGCATAGTAAAAATTGGTTCAATTTTTTCAGAAAGTAATTTAGCTATATATAACAAAAGTCTTAAAAACTATTATAATCTTGCCCAGCCCGGGTGGCTCAGTGGTTGAGTGTTGACCTATGAACCAGAGGGTCACGGTTCAATTCCTGAACAGGGAACATGCCGGGCTGTGGGCTCCATCCCGTGTTGGACATACAGGAGGCAGGTGATCAATGATTCTCTCTCATCATTGTTGTTTCTATCTCTCTCTCCCTCTCCCTTCCTCTCTGAAATCAATAAAAATAAATTTTAAAAAGACCAATTATAATCTAAAAAATTAACCCAATATAATTTAAAAAGAATAAAATTTGCTTCAAAGATAATGTTATTAAAGTAGCAATTTGAGAACTAGCAAGTGAGAGAAGGAATAAGAAAATGAAATAAAGTAGAAACATCCTAAATAATTATGGATAGCAACTAAAATCAATTTTACAGGCATACCTCTGAGACATCCAGACCACCATAAGAAAGAGAGTATCACAATAAAGTAAGTCTTAATTATTTGTTGGTGGATGGTCCTACTTTCAATCCTATATAATAAAAGCCTAAAATGCTAAGTGCCCAGTTTACCGGTCAGTCTTTTAATCAATCAAAGCTTAATATGCTAATATGTGCTAAGGCCACTCAACTGCTCTCTATGATGTGCACTGACCACCAGAGGGCAGACAGTTGACTGATACTGATTGAGATTCCTAGCGATCAAATCAATCCGTTCCACTGCAGTAACAGTGTGAATATGACTTGTGAAAAAGAATAAAGAACTCAGTAGATCTCATAGACTGACTGACTGAAGTATTTGCATGACTAGACCCATAATACTAAGGAGACACGTGACGCCGTTTGCTGCTCTCTCGGCTCACCTGTTTTAAGGTGGCTATGAAGCGAGTTATATACTCGACGGTGACTGGGTCCTCCACGGTGAGCTTATGGCTCTGGCACTCCACCCGGGCTCTGGTTATCACCACTCTCGCATCAGCAGTCAGTCCTAGAAAAGTCGTTGAACCATTACAAGAAAGAAGGACCTTTTCAATGCCAAAGAATTTTAGCTACCACAAAATCTTTCTTATAATGTCCTTTGTTTTCCTCAATATGTCCATTATAACGACTGTAAAATTCTTTGTGAATCCCTTATCTGACGTTCTGATTTATTTCCTTCAGGGCTTAACTTGATGCATTCTTACTTAATTTTTAAAGAAAATGACTTTAACGAATAAAGGTTAAATACTAATGGTTAAGCTGAAACAGACTTGGCTCAGTGGATAGAGGGTCGGCCTGCGGACTGAAAGGTCCAAGGCTCGATTCCGGTCAAGGGCATGTACCTGGGTTGCGGGCACATCCCCAGTGGGGAGTGTGCAGGAGGCAGCTGATGGATGTTTCTCTCTCATCGATGTTTCCAACTCTCTATCCCTCTCTCTTCTCTTTGTAAAAAATCAATAAAATATATTTTTAAAAAAACAACTAATGTTAAGTAAACTATTTCCCAAATATTAAAATTGTTTAATTCATAGTAGATGGGCTGGTTGTTCGGGTTTATTAAAAAATAACGTTTTAAAATCTCCGTAGTCACATTTTTAAAAACTTTTTCGAAGGAGTTATCAATGGCAGACTGTTCAAAGGTTGATGGTCTATCTATCCTGATTACAAAAGCAATACACTGATTTAATAAGCTGAATTTCTTCTTATGAAAACAATGAACGTTATATTTCATTAACAAACAGATATTCACTGAATTCAAACTTCATTCAATATAACCGTGAAATATTTCTCAGCATTTTGTCTAAGATTAAGGATTGGAAAAATAAAACACATTAAACCAGAAAAGAAAACATGCCCCGCTTTTATCACACAAAACATCCTGTAATTAACTCCTAACACGCTGCCAGGAACTACAGTAACTGCCTGAAGATGCGATGCAGGGGCCGTTTCTATCTCGTTAAGACTGCGTGGCCTTTGACCTTTCCCTGGCCGATGGTTTCTTTCCCCACACTCTTCAAACCACACTGCCCAGGGGGCATTCACAGAGCCTGAAGCATCCTTCTCACCTAACCCTCGTATAGTGGTCACACTCTCGTTCCAGGGTTACAGAAACCAGAACTGCTGTCCCAGAGGCCAACACTCGTCACAGTGAGAAGCTGTCGGCATGGCTGCTGCTAGGAGTCACCCTCACACTCGTGGGCAGCATGCGAGTCCCACTCAGAGCTAAAGGAAGAGAAACGGATGCTCTTTTCTCTCTCTGAGAGAAAGACATGGAAAGAACCCTGGCTGGTGTTGATCAGTGGGTAGAGTGTTGGCCTGGGGACTGAAGGCTCTCGAGTTTGATTCCTAGTCAAGGGCATGCACCTCAGTTGCAGGTTCCCTAGTCCTGGTTGGGGCATGTGCAGGAGGCAACCTATCCATGTGTCTCTCTCATCCTGTGGAAGTTTCTGCCTCTCTCCCCCACCCACTCTCTCTGGAAATCAATGGAAAAAATATCCTCAGGTGAGGATTAAAAAAAAAGAAAAAGAAAAAAGAAGTGGAAAAAACTGATTTAACTTATCCTATGATTTAAAAGCTTCACTCATTTACAAAATGTGATCAGAAGGGAGATTTCTAAGTATTGTCCATTTACAATATATATGATCCAAAAGTAGAGAAACATAAGAGTAGCATCCTTAGAAAGTAGTATTAAATTGATTCAGAGACAAATAAGCCAAACTATATGAGTATCATAGTTGTGTGTTTTTTAACATAATAAGCAACAATTATACTAATCAATACTAAATGACTAGGAAAAAGACAACAAATTCTATGTAAAGATAGTACTGAGCCCTTGCTGGTTTGGCTCAGTGGATAGAGCATCGGCCTTCGGACTGAAAGGTCCCAGGTTCGATTCGGGTCAAGTGCACATGCCTGGATTGTGGGCTTGATCCCCAATGTAGGGTGTGCAAGAGGCAGCCGATCAATGATTCTCTCTCATCATTGATGTTTCCATCTCTTTTTCCCTCTCCCTTCCTCTCTGAAATCAATAAAAATATATTTTGAAAATATAGTATTGAAATTTCACTGTTTATAAATAAGCAATTATACAATAGAATAAGTGAATCTCAGCCCAGTGCTTTTAAATTTATGCCACAAACTTACATTGAGACTACTATCATATTATAAAATGTCTACTATTCAATGGCATTCCACGTGGCACATGAAATAATTTTTTTCAAATTCTTTGATTTGTTTCCCTAAGGCCTGTTTTTCAAACATTAAAAATATAATAACATCAACAAAACAATGTGATTTTTTCTAACTGGAACTGTATTTCTTTCTGTGCTCTGATATGTACCTCTCATCCCCACCAGAGAGAATAAGAGGCACCAGGTAATTCTGTACTTTAGAAACAGAACTGTATCATACATATTTTTTGTAACTTAATATTTTTAATACATGTTGTGGATACTTTCTCATGTCAATACATATAGCAACCTCCTTTTTTAACTACCACTAATACTATCACTACTACTAATAATGCTGTAGTTTATACTGAATGGAAAAAGCCTGTATTAAAAGGTTTTATGCCATTGATTCTATTCATACAGCACTCTCAACATGACAAAATTATAGAGATGGAGAGAATAGCTTATTGATCGCCAGAGGTTATGATACGGAGGAGGGAGAGCATGGTTAGTCTTGTGGTATGTCCGAGTTGTGTATCTTGATTGTGGTGACGGCTACATGAATCTATACATGTGATAAGCCCAATAAAACTACACACACATGCAAATGAGTGCATGTAAAACTGGTGAAATCTGAAGAGAATCTGTGTTTGTAACAATGTCCACTTATTGGTTTGAAGACGTTACCTTTGGGGTAAACTGGGTAAAGGAGACTACTTTGTGTGTTTATTTTTTCTAATTTCCTGATCTAAAGTTATTTCAAAATAAAAAAATTAAAAATAAAACAGCTACCTAAAACTATACTCTTTCAGTATACTTTCTGGCATTTATGTTTTATCAGACGCTGGCTCACAGAGTTGTGATTTTTCCGGAAAAGACAGGTATGTGTTTGTGACTAATGAGAAGTGGAGCAGCTCCGTACGCTGATAAACACACAGCGCACAGCGGAGGGACCACGTGTGAGCCCGCACAGGGTGCTGGGCCGCGCTGTGGGCCGCGGTACCTGCGAAGGCCATGCACACGTGGTCGTCCAGGGCGCAGATTTTCCTCACGGTCCGCTCATCCTGAAGCTTGGCGACGGATTTCTTTTCTACCCCAAGCACGACTATATTGCTGCCACGGATTCCAACCTGTCAAATCATTAAAAAATAGAATGAGTTTTACCGTTAAATCAAGTTATCCTAACACATGCCTTTGAGAAAGACGCTCTTCCTTACACATTCAGGAAAACGGAGAAAGCAGACTTCTGAGAAGGCGGCTGCATAGATCCGGCTGGCTGAAGTCCGTGACTCACACTCGGGGCAAAGAGGACCCAGCGGAGCTGCAAGACTGTCCCGCACTCTGAGCAGCTCAGCCTCAGACACACACCGGGGAGCTGCCACTGAACATGGACATGAACCGAGGCAGGCAGACCGGCCTGGGGCAGCAGCGAGCACAGAGGCCAGGGAGACACGTCTCCGTATGTCACCTTTGGAGGCACAGGGGTCGGAGGTCACCAGCAGCAGGAGAAAGAGCAAGTGCCCGCCCGGCCACCGAGGAAGAAAGCCCGATCCAACAGGAATTCAGCAAGAATCCCACTGCGCCTCCTCCCCCTCCCCCGGGAAGGAATGGGGAAGCTCAAATGATGGATGAGGGAGGAGTTCTCAAACAGGGCCTTTTGGGGAAGCGGCCCTGGTCTTAGGGCCTCATTAGTGACCTCTGGGAATGTAGCTGTACCACAGGAGTAATCTTCTATTCCGCTGTTGGTATTAGTGATTGCCTGTGGCCCAGTGTGATCAGAGTGCCCTGTTTTATACAACACACCCAGGCAAAAGGTGTATTCTGAAATTCATATTCTTTTAAAAAAAAGTTTTTGGTTGATTTTAGAAAGAGAGACAGACAGACAGACAGATATCGATTTGTTGTTCCACCCACTCATGTATTTATTGGCAGATCCCTGTATGTGCCCTGACCAGGGATTGAACCTGCAACCTTAGCGCATCGGGACGACATTCCAACCAACCGAGAGAGGCAGCCAGCGCGTGAGTTAGTATTCTTGAAGTAAAAATACAGAACAGGGTAAATGTAGACCTACAACTGCGATTACATCTTTTTTAAAAAATATATACTTTATTGATTTATTAGAGAGGAAGAGAGAGGGATAGAGAGCTAGAAACATCGATGAGAGAGGAACATTGACCAGCTGCCTCCTGCACACTCCCTACTGAGGATGTGCCCACAACCAATGTACATGCCCTTGACCGGAATCGAACCTGGGACCTCTCAGTCCACAGGCCGATGCTCTATCCACTGAGCCAAACCGGTTTCGGCCAATTACATCTTTTAATTAAACAAAACACTCTTCCAATTAAATGGGTAACGCATGAAAGCTTTTGTTCTAACTGTTCCTTCATACCATTCGTGTCATTCAAGGCCAAGAGACCTCCCTAACCATCCTATCTAGTCAGCAGCCCTCCCTCCAAGTCCCGGCTCCCATGACAGACATGTTGACCTTCACACCCTGCAGGGACCAAGCCTGCTTATCACGTCACGGGGCATTACAAGCCAACATATGTTAGGACTCAAAGAAAATCTCAATATCCCCCCCCCCCAATTAAAATAAATCAACTTAAATTCAGGGATCACGAGATAACACAATAAGCTTTCTAACTCTCACCTCCACAACTGCCACTGAACAGACACATGAGAACTGCCAACAGGTGGGTCGTGCGTGTGCCGCCTCCGCAGGCCGCCCACAGCGCGAGTGCGGGCCGAGCTGCCTGCTGCAGCGGAGTGACAAGTGGCCCATGCATCCCAGGGATGGATAAAAAATCCATAAAGAAGAAAATGTGGAAGCTCCGAAGTACAGACTCCTCATCGATAAGAGGAGATTAAACACTCTCCTTAACCTAGTCATGTACAAAAATGCCTGAGACTAAGTAAATGCTGCTTAAATGTTGGTTTCCTTTCTGCCCAGCCTCTCCGAGGTGCATTGTGTAGTAGACATACAAAACACACCATCTATCAGGTGTCCTCAAACTTTTTAAAGTGGGGGCCAGATCACGGTCCCTCAGAGAGCTGGAGGGCCGGACTATATGAACTACTAATTCCTACTGTAACACCTCTGCTGCACTCACTGCCCAAAAAACCTGGCGGGCAGGATCAGACTCCTCTGCGGGCCGCATGTGGCCCGCGGGCCGTAGTTTGAAGACCCCTGACACAGACCCTCCCGTCCGGCTGGTGCGAGGCGTCTGTCACAGACACCTGGAATTACAGGGGATGTGCGGCCAGGCAGCGAATGCTGTCCAGCGCTCAATCCAGAAGAAATGGACCCAGCATGCGGGGCTTGGGTCAGAGATGGCTTCAAGAAGGAGCCGGTGTGCCTGGGAGGAAAAGTCCTCGGGGGCAGAGCTGGACCAGTGAGACCAGGAAGCTGCCCGCCATTGAAGAGGGTGGAAGGTTCTGGAAGACTCTGACGGTCAGATGGTGGAGCTGAGCTTTGATAAAGCAGGAAATACGGAGCTGAGAGCAGGTCAGGGAAAGGACTGAATGAGGAATGATGGTAAGTCCTGTCTTTTCCAGGAGAATGCTGGAAGGGTTCCTACTTTCCCCAGGAGAAAGGTATTGCCTCTCCAAACGTTACTCAGAGATGTTGTCATTTATAGAAAAGTGTCTATAAAGGATTTCCGAGAAGGAGGTGAAGCCCACGGCCTGTCACGGTGGCCCTGTACCTGCTGTCTGACTGAACAACAGCATATCCACACACTGGTCAGAACCGGTTAACGCCGGCTCATTTCTACCCATCCTATCAAATGTCATCTATAGACAGATTATTTTGTGACATTTCCATAAACAAGCGTCAGTATAAACCTGACCCCTGTAAAAGGTCATGGCACACTCAAGGAATCACAGAAACTCCATACAAAGGTGCAAAGTGTAATTTCAGAATCGTGACCAGAAACGGTCTCATCCTTCCGCCGTATCTTTAAAAATGCTCACTCCCGGTATCTTTATATCCTCCCCTTTACAGCTCATTACAAGGGCCACCCACCAGCTCTATGGCGTCTACAACATTCTAACCGAGCCGCGGCTTCTGATCACACCCCGTCTTCTCCCCTTACTGCCCTCGCTGCGGCTCTAAGCCGGGCGTTACTGTCCAACCATCTGCTCCATGCCGCGCTGGGGATGGGAGAACTTCCTGTTTTTGTCAGGATGGTACCCTCTGGGTTAAGCCGCACCAGGCTTTCTTAAATTTACAATTCTAAAAGAATTACCTGCTTTAAAAAAGGAGAAAAACTCGTGGGCCCCCTTAAATAGAAAAACGCTTTAAAAAATGGTTCAGATTATTTCCAGTGGTTCCCCCACCCCTTTACCTTTGATAGATTTAAAATAAAATTGAATTGTTTCTTCCCATAACCAAGTTGGTACGGAAAGTGAGACAAGACACAGACACCACTACACTTAGAAATGACCGTGCCTTCTCAGAGCTGGCGCCTCAAACTCTAAGGCACAACCAACGGCTCATGAAACCTGAGACTAAAAACCCCGGTCCTTCTGAGCTGAAGGCTAGGACTTGGAAGATTTGGAATAACAGATCTTTGGTCACTAGAGCATGTTTGTCATTTAAATTTTTATAAAACATAAAGTTATTGCCTAACTTTTGGCTCAGCAGATAGAGCATCGGCCTGCGGACTGAAAAGTCCCTGGTTCAATTCCGGTCAAGGGCATGTACCTTGGTTGTGGGCACATCCCCAGTAGGGGGTGTGCAGGAGGCAGCTGGATTGATGTTTCTAACTCTCCCTCTCCCTTCCTCTGTGTAAAAAAATCAACAAAACATATATATTTTAAAAAGTTATTAAACATAAAAAATTGGCAGGAGCATTCCAGCTACCCTGAGTGTTTAAACGTTTTTTCAGAAATGTGGACAGGTAAACCCAAAGGAGGGCATACGTCTCAAAGACTTTCAGAATTATTCAGAGATCACACACACACACACACACACACACGGGGGCGGACACGGGGGGCACACACTGGGACAATGCTTTTGGACAAGGACGGGGTCTGAAACGTGGGTCACTCTCACGGTGACGGAGCCTGAGCGCCCGGCCGCCATGGGCCTTACACCGTTACCCTGGGCACATGCGCCCGGGCCTCTGCCCCGCCAGTGGCCCCGCAGGGCGTGCACCCACGGGGGCCGCCCGGTGCTGGAGGCGGCCGTGCGGGCGGGTCCCGAGGCACGCACGCACGCACGCACGTTACGCAGCACGCACACACGCACGCACACACGCACACGTAGGCACGCACGCACAGGCAGGCCCGCGGCTGCCGTTAGACAGGGCGGCGCACACGGGCTGGGAACCTGCCAGACCCTCCTGACCGTCCCCGTCCTCGCCCTCCGTGGCGGACACCGCCCGCACAGGGCCCTCCCCGCCCGCACAGGGCCCTCCCCGCCCGCACAGGGCCCTTCCCGCCCCGCACAGGGCCCTCCCCGGCCCTCCCCGCCCCGCACAGGGGCCTCCCCGCCCCGCACAGGGGCCTCCCCGCCCCGCACAGGGGCCTCCCCGCCCCGCACAGGGCCCTCCCCGGCCCTCCCCGCCCCGCACAGGGCCCTCCCCGGCCCGCACAGGGCCCTCCCCGCCTCTCCCCCGCCCCGCACAGGGCCCTCCCCGCCCCGCACAGGGCCCTCCCCGCCCGCACAGGGCCCTCCCCGCCCGCACAGGGCCCCTCCCCGCCCGCACAGGGCCCTCCCCGGCCCTCCCCGCCCGCCCAGGGCCCTCCCCGCCCGCACAGGGCCCCTCCCCGCCCGCACAGGGCGCACCGCGGCCCTCCCCGCCCGCACAGGGCCCTCCCCGGCCCTCCCCGCCCCGCGCCCCTCCTGCGGCGCCCCCGCCCGGCCCGCAGGCTGCTCACCGCCGTGGAGCCCTTCTTCACCGCCTCCTGCGCGTACTCCACCTGGAACAGGTGCCCGTCCGGCGAGAAGACGGTGATGGCGCGGTCGTACCGCGACGCCATCGCACAGCCACCGCCAGGCCTCGAGGAACCGCTCCGCCACGTGCGAGCCGGAAGTGCGTGATGGGCCCCGGCGGAAGTGGGGGGCGGGGGGGAGCCCGGGGCCCACCCCAGGCCGGGCTGCACGCGGCTGGCAGGGTCCCGCTGCCCTCAGGGGCCGGCCTGGGCGCCGCTCCAGTTCCTCCAGGCCGGTGACCCCGGTGGGGTCTGATCACCGAGTGCACACACACATCAGGGTGGGGGTGTGGCCCGGGAATAAACACACAACAGAATGGGGGTGATCACCGGGAATAAACACACATCAGGGTGGGGGTGTGGCCCGGGAATAAACACACATCAGGGTGGGGGTGTGGCCCGGGAATAAACACACAACAGAATGGGATTGATCACCAGGAATAAACACACATCAGGGTGGGGGTGTGGCCCGGGAATAAACACACATCAGGGTGGGGGTGATCACCGGGAATAAACACACATCAGGGTGGGGGTGATCGCCGGGAATAAACACACATCAGGGTGGGGGTGATCATCCGGGTACACACATATCAGGATGGGGGTGATCACCCAGTACAAACACATCAGGATGGGGGTGATCACCAGGTGCAAACACACATCAGGGTGGGGGTGATCACCGGGAATAAACACACATCAGGATGGGGGTGGCTGAGTGTGGCCTCTGAACCAGACATCCTGTTTCTGTTCCCAGCGGGGCACAGGCCCAGGTTGCCGGCTGGACTCCCGGTGGGGGTGTGCAGGGGGCAGCAGATCCATGACTCTCAATCATCATCAGTGTTTATTTTTTTAACACGCTCACTGATTTCAGAGAGGAAGAGGGAGAGATGGAAACATCAGTGATGAGAGAGACGCATCGAGGGGCCGCCTCCTGCTCCATCCCAATCCAGGGGGCAGCCTGTGCAGCCAGCTCCCTGACCATGGAGCCCGACCCTGACCTCCTGGTCCCCAGGTCCAGGCTCAACCACGGAGCCATACGGCTGGGCTGTACACAGCTTTGGCATCCCCTCATCTCCTGAGGGGCACGTGGGCTGTTTCCAGAGCATGGTGTGCCCAGCCAGCGGGGACGTGGCATACTCAGCCCCACATTGGGTGCCATAGGTGCTGATCCAGCTCAGCCAGGTTTGGTGAGCCTGAGAGGGGCGGGAAGGATGGAGAAAAGACAGACAAGGGGAGAAAACTGGGTCTGGGTGGGACGTTGTCCTCTGAAGGAGAGACAGTGCCACAGCCTGCAAGCCAGTCTTGATTTTATAGCCGATGCCACGAGGCAAACTAAGGACTTGGTCAGAACGTTCTCATGGGTTTCAAATCTACTCATTTACATTCACCTGAACTCTTATCAAGCCCACGTCACTCAGCCACGTGGGACCACAGGTTTGGACATACGGCCAAGCTTACAACCACACCCTTTGGCTATAACTGTGCTGGGAGGGCTTGCCCTCCAGGCTGGGACCTGCACGTGGCTTTGCCATGAGAGGACAGTGCCCTCTCATCAGTCCGAGGCTTGAACCTGCCCAGACGCGGTGGCCGCTCCCCACGCCCCGGCCATTGTCCATACTGCTGCTAGGAATGTAGGTGCACATCTCCCTGATGGGTGTTCTTAGGATGTGTGCCCAGAAGTGGAATTGCTGGGTCAGGAGGCAGCTCCATTTTTAATTTTTTGAGGAAATGACACTCTTTTTCCAGCAGTACGGGAGGGTCTCCTTTTCTCCACATCCTCACCAGCACTTGTTTGTTGATTTATTGATAGCAGTCAACTTTATTGTGTATGTGAAGAAAAGGTCGAAGTCCTCTTTAAAAAAATGTTTAGCTCTTCAAAAAAAAATCCTTTCTGCATTGAATTATCTTGGCCTTTGAATTAGTTTTCTATGGCTACGGCAATAAATCACTGCAAACTTGGTGGCTTAAAAATAGTAGAAGTTTATTTTCCCACAATTCTGGAGGTCACAGGCTGCAATCATGGTTTCCATGGGACTGCATGATGCTATTATGCTGTTATTTTCCTTTTCAGAAAATGTGTCACAATGTGATTGCTTGGTTAGGTTCATATGTATTAGGCAGTAGCTTGTAGCATATTGAGTGACTTAACAGTGTTTTAGTGCACATTGCCTACTTCAGCCATACATGTTAGATGGGAAAAATCCCTATTGCAGCTTGACAAGTGATCACGAACTTGATGGCTTAGAACAACACAAATTTATTATCTCACAGGATGGGAGGTCAGTGGGCCTTCCTGGCTGTAATGAAGGTTTTAGCAGAATGGTGTTCCTTCTGGGGCGCTGGGGAGAACCCTCTTCCTTGACTCTTCTCACTTCTAGAAGCTCCCCACAAGCCTTGCCCAGCACCCCTCCATCTTCATGGCCGGCAAGACTTGCTCCAGATGCCATCTCTCTGATTAGGACTCTTCAACCTCAGCCTTTCCTCACTTAAGGATGTGTGTGCCTGCTTTGTGCTCTTTCACACAACCAGTGTCAACCTCTCTATGTCAAGGTCAACTCACGTACCTCCTTAATTCTATCTGGAATCTCAATTCCACTCTGCATTGTAACCGGTCATACTGTTCCCAGGTTCTGTGGGTGGGAGGTGGTTATCTTTGTGAGGATGAAATTATTCTGCCTACCGTACCTTCATAGAGAAATGAGCTCATTCATAACAACGCAAAGGGAAGTTAGTACGTTAGCACCCTCTCTGTAAGCTGTGAAGCAGCTCAAGCGTCATTATATTCCTTTACTAGACTCACTGTGCGTCACGCACAAAGGTCAGAGAACATTCCAAACTGGACAGAGATCACTTGATCTCTACATTGCAGCCAGGAAATTTCCCGAGGGTGGACTGAACTATCCAGTCCTTTGAGCCTTTGCTGGTCATCAGGTACATTTCTCCTTACTACGGTAGATTATTAAGAACAAATCTCATGCTTGTTTAGTCAGTTACAATACCCCATGCGTTTTTACATATTTTACCTGTTAGAAAATTTTGGTCAATCCTCAGAACCTAATGTGAGATAATCACTTAGTGCACTGGCTGTACATAATGCATGCTAAGTAAACATCTTACTATTTCTACCAGCCTTTCCGACGGGGTAGCAGTTTTCCAGTGAGGCGAGCGAAGTGCAGAAATGACCCGTCCAGCGTCATGCCGTTCGTGGACGAAGCGGCCACTCCCAACCTGTGCGTTTGTCACAGTGAGTCAAGACTGCAGAGTCACACAGGGAGACTAATTCTTTAAAGCAGTCTTTTCTTAGCCTATCCCCCAAACAGAATTCTGTCAGCTCCTGCCCGCCTCAGTGCGTGTCTGACACCGTCAGAAGAGACAGGCCCGAATAGGCCTTGCCGTTGTCTGCTTTGACTGCTGTCTTCTGGAGTATTGGAAAGAAAGCGTTTTATGGAGAACTGGGAAAGGTGAAGTGTTCTTCCCTAGAATAATGCCTACATATATACATGTATGCTGTCCTCCTTATAGTCTTGACATCTGTGGAAGCCACAACTCAAAATGACTCAGAGAATGCCATGGAGAGAGCAGAAATATTTTGAAAGATATCACCTGAGGGGTTTCGCTCTGAGACCAATTACGCTCAGACAGGCTTGGTCTGTGCCTCCCGAAGTATCTAAGGATTTATGGCAGCACAGGGGCTTGGGACACCAGAAAAGGTGGTAGTCTGTATGTTGTGTTATTCCAAAGCGGTGAGTGTTAAGTGCTTGTCGCCGCACAGGCTTGTGTCTGTGCGCGGCTTAGACAATGTTAATGCTGTCGTTACACAGCTTCTCTAAAGACCGCGCAGAGTCCGGAGCAGCAGCAGCGCAGTGAATGCATCTGAAGAAGTCCCAGGAGGTACCTTCTCTGTTTAAAACGTTAAAAATGGGAACATCTGAAAGTCAACCATGGCATTTCTGATTCCCTTTTTTGGGTTAAGTGCATCTACATTCATTGGTGTCAATAACCAGGATTTAATTGTCCGTGCGGGAATTTTACTCAGTCCGAGCCATGTGTGTTCTGCCAGGTTATTCTGAGAACCCTTCCCGCTTCCATGTGCCGCCGGAGTAATGGGACTGCCTGTTCTGATGGGGAGATGGGTGCCTGGGCAGCTCATTTTTTAAAAATCCTCACCAGAGGATGGTTTCTTGATTGGTTTTCAGAGAGAAGGGAAGGCAGGGAAGGAAGGCAGAAAGAGAAAGAAACACCGATGCTAGGGAGACCCGCGGATTTGGCTGCTTCCTGCATGTGTCCTGACTTGGGTGGAAAGGGAACCCACAACCCAGGTGCGGGCCCACGTCCTGGAATCAAGCCTGGGAGCTGTTGAATGGAGACGAGACCACCCAAGAGGCAGAGACCCCTACGCGGGAAATAACTCCAACTAGCCAATTGCGGAGTCAAATAACAAACTTTATTGCAGATTCGAATCTGGGCTGCCGCGGCGGCAATGCGGCCAGAAGCAGCAGTCGTTACAAAGCGGTCTCCTTTTTAAGCACCCTTCAAACAAGCACATTCCAAACAAGGGGGGGTGGAGGTCCACGGGGCTGAAGCTGATTAGTTTCTCGGCCAGATGGCCTAATCTCCCTTCTTGGTTTGTTCTGCTGTCTTCAGCCTTGACTAACCCAGACTGTTGATTTGGCCTTCAGCTCCAGGAGGGGGAGTAGCAACTTTCTACCCTCCAGGCAAGGTCAGTTATTTTCCACTCCTCCGGAGCCGTCTGTGCCCGGCTGGCGCTCTAACTACTGAACTCACTGGCCAGGGCCAGGTAGCTCATTTTTAAGTTCTGAGTAATTTCCTGTCTTTATTGTCCATTTTCTCTTTTACTGAATGCTGGGGTTTCTTTATTCCCTTTCCCTCCCAACTCTCCTGTCATTCTCTCTCCAGAACCAGTGGTGAGGCGAGGGAGGCGGGTTTACCGATGTTCCCACACTGTTTTCCTAACGCAGGGCTCTCACAGGTAACGAAGGCTCCAGAGTCTGAGGGAGTTCCTGTAGGCTGCAGTCTTCCCTCTTTGGATTTTCTGCTTTTCCAAGGTAAGCCGACTGTGTTTACCAGGGAAGCCTGAGTATAACAGAACAGGGTCCCTTAAGATTCTTCTCTTGGGAGATGACTTGTGTTTGCGGCTGGACCTGACCCAGTGCTTCCCGCCATGTTTCATACGATGCTGCTGGTAATTTTGTGGCACACCTGGTGTCACGGGCCTCTGCCTGTGCCCAGGCCCTGCTGCCGCTCTGGTCCCGCACACCGGGCTGGCCTGGTGCTGCCTGCTTCCATTGCTTTCCTTTCCTGCTGTGGGGGGCAGTCATTTAAGCAGAGAAGGTACCTCCTGGGAAAACAAACCCCTCTGGCACTTTTTAAAAACGGGTGCAGCCATTCAGACTGTTGCTGCTCGTTCCTGTTGCTCTTTAAGTTTGTTGCTGTCTGCTCAGCTGCCATTTTCCCCACAGAAGGACAGCTCTAACTTCAGTAAGTCCTCGTTCCCCGGGAGATCCCTCCCTACGGCGACATGATGCGGTTTCCGCCTGAGGTCCGAACCCACCGACGTAAGCACCTGTGTCATTCACGAGGAGCAGAGACATAGGAAGGAAGTGACACAGGAAAAAAATTAAAAGATAACAATTCCTGACCTTGTGGTAAATAAATAATAAAAAAAGGACGTCAAAATGCTGGTACTTTAAAAAAAAATATATATATTTTATTGATTTTTTACAGAGAGGAAAGGAGAGGGATAGAGAGTTAAAAACATCCATCAGCTGCCTCCTGCACCCCCCCACTGGGGATGTGCCCGCAACCAAGGTACGTGCCCTTGACCAGAATCAAACCTGGGACCTTTTAGTCCGCAGGCTGACGCTCTATCTACTGAGCCAAACCAGTTTGGCTGGAACATTTTTTTATAAATAGGAGATGGCAACGTAACCACGAAACGATATACGTCAGGTCCGATGTAACCAGAGGACTGCCTGTACTTAGGTACTTTTATGCACCTAGATGATAAATGATAAGAGGATGATCTATAATAATGAAAGCATAATGTGCTAATTAGACTGGATTAGAGGTCACCCTTCCAGATGACCTCTGGACGAGGCGGGGCCGTGAGGGAAGCCGGGGTCCAGGTGCCAGAGGGAAGCCCATGATGGCAGCCGGGGGAAGGAAGGCCTGCTCTTGCACGAATTTTGTGCATCAGGCCTCTAGTAAGGTGAGAAAAGCCAGGTGTTGGACACACGTTAGTGGTGGACAAGACTTTGTTTCAGTTCTGAGATCAGTACAAGTTCTTCCAAGTTGATCTCATCCTGTTAAATCCAGATGCAGCAGAATGGTTCTTCCCAAGGCATAGGACAGTGAGAGACAATTAAATTCATAAAAGTCACTACTGTTAGTAGGAGTATAAATTGCCTTCCCTTTTTTCTGAAGGATGACCTTAGTGTTTTCATCCTTTAGGTCTTGGTTTAAATATAACGAAGCTACCCCATCCTGACTCATGGGCTGTCCCTCTTGGTTCTGTTCCTTAGCCTGTCTTTACACTTCACACTTGTACTTGCTGTTTCTGCCCTGTGGGTCCTGCGGGTGAGAGCTCCACGGAGCAGGCATGTGCGTCCAGCTGGCTCCACTGTGCCCTCCGTGCTGCCAGAGAACTCACCCAGACTTGCTGAACGAATGAAATGCATGACTGTTTTGGGGCAAAGATTTACTTATTTTTAAAAAATCATATTTTATTATTTAAAATGTTTTTATTGATTCCAGAGAGAATAGGAGAGAGCCAGAAACACTAATGATGAGAGAGAATCATTGATCAGCTGCTTCCTGCACACCCCCCATTGGGGATCGAGTCCAAAACCTGGGCATGTGTCCTTAACAGGAATAGAACCCAGGACACTTTAGTCCCCAGACTGACGCTCTGCCCATTGAGCCATACCAGCTAGGGCCGTGGTTGGCAAACTGCAGCACAAGAGCCACATGCGGCTCTCTGGCCCCCTGAGTGTGGCTCTTCCACAAAATATCACCGCCTGGGAGAGTCTGTTTTGAAGAAGTGGCGTTAGAAGAAATTTAAGTTAAAAAAATGTGGATCTCAAAAGAAATTTCAATCGTTGAACTGTTGATATTTGGCTCTGTTGGCTGATGAGTTTGCTGACCCCTGAGCTAGGGCATGTTTGAAACAGAAAACTTTAAAATACACATTCCCACCGCCCCCCCAGTTTATTTTGTACGTAAACTGAGACATTGATTTTGAGCCTCAGTAATGTTGGGTGACGTTTTATATACACGTTTCGTGTTCTATAGAAATTAAAACTTTAGAATTAAAACAAACCCCATCCTAACGCAGTGATTTTACCACGACCTCCTGTAAGTTGAGGATTTGGGTTAGACTGGCAGCCTGACCGCTGGGCCAAGTGCGGCGTGACGGTGCGGAGGCGCCGCCCAGGTGCGCTCGGGGCGGGCCGGGCCGTTTGAACCGGCCAATCCGCGCTCCCCGGTCCCGGCGGGTGCCACCCCGCCTCCCGCTCCCTTCCGCTCCCGGCCGGACAGGCCCCCGGGGGGCGAGGCTGAAGCGGGGACCGCGCCAGGCCCGAGCCGGCGCCGCGCGGAGGGCGGAGGGCGGAGGGCGGAGGCCGCGGGGCGCGGAGGGAGGAGGGAGGAGCCCGGTGTGGAGGGCGGGGCGGAGGGAGGAGGGAGGAGCCCGGTGTGGAGGGCGGGGCGGAAGGAGGAGCCCGGTGTGGAGGGCGGGGCGGAGGGAGGAGGGAGGAGCCCGGTGTGGAGGGAGGGCGGAGGGAGGGAGGAGCCGGTGTGGAGGGCGGGGGCGGAGGGAGGAGGGAGGAGCCCGGTGTGGGAGGGCGGGGCGGAGGGAGGAGCCCGGTGTGGAGGGCGGGGGCGGAGGGAGGAGGGGAGCCCGGTGTGGAGGGCGCGGGGCGGAGGGAGGAGGGAGGAGCCCGGTGGCGGGGCGGGGCGGAGGGGAGGAGCCCGGTGTGGAGGGCGGGGCGGAGGGAGGAGCCCGGTGTGGAGGGCGGGGCGGAGGGAGGAGGGAGGAGCCCGGTGTGGAGGGCGGGCGGGGGAGGAGGGAGGAGGGCGGGAGGGAGGAGCCCGGTGAGAGGGCGGGGCGGAGGGAGAAGGAGGGGCGGAAGGGGGCTGGAGTAGAGTCGAGAAGGAGCCTGGTGTGGGCTGCGGGAGCGGAGGGAGGAGGGAGGACCCGGTGTGGAGGGGCGCGGGAATCTGGGACAGGATGGAAGAGGGGCGGGGGGACAGGAAGGAGGAGGGAGAAGGAAGGGGGTTGGGTGCAGGCGGGAGGAGGGTCGGAGAGGCGGCGGGAGGGACGGGGCGGAGGGCGGAAGGAGGGCCGCGCCGGACGGGGCGGGCCAGGCGCTCCGCACTTCCTGTGCCGGCGTCGCTCCCCGGCGGCGGGCATTTCCTGGAGGCGGGGGGGGGGAGGGGAAGGGGCGGGCGGGCGGCGGGCCCATTTCCTGGAGGCGGGGGCGGTGGGGGGAAGTGGAGGGGGAAGGGGCGGGGCCGGCGGCGGGCCAACCACTTGGGCCGCGGGGCGGGGGGGGCGGGGGAGCCGCGGCCGGGTGGCGGCCGGCGGACCGGGCGGGGGCGGGCCGCGGGGCTCGGGGCGGCCGGACGCGTGTCCACGAGGCCGCCTGCGGGCTGTGTCTGCGGGCGGAGCCGGGTTGGCGCCCGCGGCCTCGCGCCCCGCGCCGGCGCCCCCCGCGCGGTGGTTGGGCCCGGAGGCCGCCCCGCAGCCGCTGGAGCCGCCGGGCGGGAGGGCGGGAGGAGCGGCGGCAGCATGTCGGTGGCGTTCGCGGCGCCGCGGCAGCGCGGCAAGGGCGAGATCACGCCCGCCGCCATCCAGAAGGTGCGGCGGCCTCCGGGGCCGGGCGGACGGGCGGGCGGGCGGGCGCGGGGCGGCGGCGGCGGGTGGTCCTCCGGGACCTCGCGTCGGGCTCCCCCTCGGGCCGGAGCCCAGGGCTGGCCCTCGGCGGGCGGCGGGGCGGCCCGGGCCGGCGGCGCGCGGGGGCCGGGCGGTCGCCCAGGGTTACTCGGAGTCGCCCCGCCCTTGCGCCGCGGCCGCTCCGCGCGCTCCGGGCCGAGGCCGCGCTGCGCTCGGCGGAGCTGGAGTCCAGAAGTTGGGGGCCACTGCGGAGAGCCTGGGGGGCGCCCAGGAGGGCGTGAGGACGCGGCTGGAGTCCCAGCGGATGAGGGGCGGTGAGGGAGAGCCCTCCCCTTCCGATTCCCCGCGCCCAGCACGTCTGCAGGGAGCTGGGCCTGCCCCGGCGCTGACAGCGGGGTTCGGGGGACCTGGCGGTGCTGGGCAGCGGGGTCGCCCCTCACTGGGGGCTGCCCCCGCCCTCGGCCTGCGCCGGCCCCTCGGAAAGCCCCGGCGGAGCTCTGCCCCTCAGACCTGCGCTCCGCCCGGAGCAGGGTGCGTGGAGAACAGTCAGCTTCCACACTGAGGGCGCCACCCCGCGCCAAATAGACGTACGAAACTTTTCTTATTGAGTTTACTGGGCGACATTGTTAATAAGATGACACCGATTTCAAGAGGACAGTTCTGTACCCATGGCCTGTATGTGGATTGTGTGCTCACCGCCCCAAAGCAAGTCTCCTGGAGTCACCCCTTTTCCTCCTCCCCCTCTCCCTCTGCTCTCCTCGCCCCTCTTCCTCTCCTGTTGTCTGCATGGCTTTGTCTGCAGTTTGTGCTTAATCCCTTCCCCTTTTCCTCCAAGTCCCTCAGCCTCCCTCTGACAGCTGTCAGTCTGTCGGCGTCTTCTGTTTACTCCAGGTTCCGTGTAGTTTTCCTAACTGTTGCTTTAATTCACGAACTGCGGGCTTGGCGGTGTCTAAACAGGCAGGGTTTTCACAGAGTGAACGGGCTAAGTGTGCACCCTGGCCTACAGCTCTGAGGACACACACACACACACACACAGCATATTTGGGGGCGGGTGAGAATTTTTATTTTTGGACTGTAGCAAAGTTCTGAGTATGTCTCTTTTTCCTACAGTTATTCTTACATACTAATACATCTTAAAGTATTCCTCTTGGGTGATTAATTTAGGAGATGCTGGTCAATTGGTTTTCATCCTCCGATGAGGAGGAGAAAGGGATTCCAAATTAAGTGCTCCATTCTGTAGTGTGAAAGATTGATTTTAAATGAGACAGATTCCAACAAAGTTCGTTAGGTTGAGGAATCTGCTGAGAAGATACGTTGTGAAGTTGTTGGTTGGACTAATGCATTTTAAAGATATGCTTTTTGGCATTCAATGGTTCTATTTAAGAAATAACCACTTTTTAGAGAGGAATGTTAATATGTATATTTTTTCCAGCAAGTGCAGATTATGATTCACATCCGGAAAGAAAAGTCACAGTTAATGTTAAATGGGTCTTGGTTTTTCATAGAAAGAGTTGCACTCACTAAATGATGGCATTTTCTACTTGGCGCTTTGGTGGAAGATGGGGCGGGTACCGGAGAATCAGTCACTCCTGCCTCCCCATCTCACAGATAAGCCTGAGCCCTGACTTCCCAGTGCTTGCACAGAATGGCCTCACGTTGTTTTAAGATGATAGGATGGACGAAACCGGTTTGGCTCAGTGGATAGAGCGTTGGCCTGCGGACTGAAAGGTCCCGGGTTCGATTCCGGTCAAGGGCATGTACGTTGGTTGGGGGCACATCCCCAGTAGGAGGTGTGCAAGAGGCAGCTGGTCGATGATTCTCTCTCATCCATGTTTCTAACTCTATCCCTCTCTCTTCCTCTCTGTAAAAAAATCAATAAAAAAAAATATTAAAAATATTTAAAAAAACCCCCACAAACTTGATAGGATGATGTAAATGCATACACTTTTGTTCTTAAGCTCTGGGACGACCTCAGAGTGAGGTAAGCTCAGAGTCAGCCATGTACGTTACGCAGACGCAGGAATCGTGTTTGACTCCATATTTGGAGAACCACAGAGCCGTGCTGTGTGAAGCTGAGAAGCCAGCCAGCTCCCCCGGCCCCCTGGGCTGCATTGTTCCTGTGTGGGCTTCATTCTGGATAAGGGGAATTTTTTACTAAAAAGCTTATGAGTGATACGGAGCCAACTTGGACTCAGTTTGTCGTCTTACCAGGCTGAAGCCTCCATGACATTTAGCAGAGGTGGGTAAGTATTCCCTTCGAGCTGCCGGTAACGACTCAGGGAGAAGAACTGGAATAGAGTTACTGAGAATGGTTGGTGAAATGGGACATTATGCCCAAGGTGTGAAATAGGTTTAAAAGCTGAGTGGGTTCAGTTCCTGTGTAGTTAAACATTTCTAGAAATCTGAAGGATTTTACAGTTTTTTACTTGATACACGAGATTTACAATAAACTTTTTCTAATTTTATTTCAGATGTTGGATGAAAATAACCATCTCATTCAGTGTATAATGGACTATCAGAATAAAGGGAAGACCTCGGAGTGTTCTCAGTAAGATTGATTTGAAATTTTGAAAAGTTTTTATTTTTCTGCGTTGTTTTACTTTTCTTTTTAGCTTTATTGAGATCTAATTCACGTACCATACAATTCACCCATTTTAAAGTGTATAATTCAAGGTTTTTAGAATACTCATAGAGTTGTACTGTCACTTTAATCAATTTCAGAACATTTTCATTATCCCCCAAGAACCCTTGTACCCATGAGCAGTCACTCCCGGTTTCCAGCCCCGTTTCTTACCCCCTGACAACCACTAGCCGTTCTGTCTGTGCCGATCTGCCCGGGTGGTGTTACATTTAAATGGGTTCACGTAAGGTGGGGTGTTTTGTGACTGACTTCTTTCACTTAGCACGCTTTCCAGGTTCATCCATGTTGAAGCATGAATCAGTACTTCCTTTTCATCGCTAACCATGTCCTGTTGTCAAGAGCTATGCCACATTTATCCACCAGTGACAGACATTGGGTTGTTTCCTTGGCTCTTCGGAGTAATGCTACTATGGGCATTAGTGTACCCAGTTTTGTGTGACTCTCCTCAATTTGTCCATGAGGAAAATATGTTCTCGGGAATGGAGTGGGTATTAATTTTTCACTCGCTTCTTATCCTGCATAACGTAAGGACTTCACATTTGTGTGTGGTCTGATTTGTGGAAAAGTTAGGCCTTCACATACGTAGGACCTTTAGTTCTATCCGTATATGTGACGGAGGAAGCACAGGTCAGGTGTAATACGTAGAGAATTGGTCGTCACTATAAGAACCCAGTTGGAGGTGTTATGTTGGAAGTAAACAGTCTCCCTTAGGAGACGGCTGGAGTGGAACAAGCTGAATGTTTTATCAGAAGTCTAGAACACCACCATCTGGTAGACATGCTTGTGAGCCACATATGTACTTTTACCTTTGCTAGTAGACACTTAAACAAGAAGAAACAGGAGAAATTAACTTAAATAAAACATTTTATTTAACTCCTTATTTTAAAAATAATGTCACTTCAATATATAATCAATATAAAAACATTAATGAGCTGAAACTGGTTTGGCTCAATGGATAGACTTAAAGGTCCCAGGTTCGATTCTGGTCAAGGGCACGTACCTTGGTTGCGGGCACATCCCCAGTAAGGGGTGTGCAGGAGGCAACTTATCAATGTTTCTCTCCAATGTTTCTGTCTCCCTCTCTGTAAAAAAATCAATAAAATATATATATAAAAAAAAACAATGAGATAGTTTACATTGTTTTTTTTTAAAATATATATTTTATTTCAGAGAGAAAGGGAGAGGGAGAGAGATAGAAACATCAATCATGAGAGAGAACCAATGATTGGCTGCCTCTTGCATGATCCATACTGGGGATCGAACCTGCAACCTGGGCATGTGCCCTTGACCAGAATCAGTCCATAGGCTGATGCTCCATGCACTGAGCCAAACTGACTAGGGCTAGTTTACATTCTTTTGCTTCATATTAAGTCTTTGAAATCTGTTGTGCATTCTAATAACTAGAGGCCTGGTGCCCAAAATTTGTGCATGGATGGGGGGAAGGTGGGGGAGGTGGGGTGAGGTGGGTGTCCTTAGCCTAGCCTGCACCCTCTCCAATCTGCGACCCCTTGGAGGATGTCCAACTGTCGGACATCCTTCTCACAATCCAGGACTGCTGGTTCTTAACCGCTCACCTGCCTGCCTGATTGCCCCTAACTGCTTCTGCCTGCCAGCGTGATCAGCCCCTAACCACTCCTGCTGGACATCTTGTGGTGGCTATCTTTGACCACACTGGGTGGCCACCTTGTGTGAGAGTGTGATGGTCAATTGCTTAATGCCTCTTTATTATATAGGATAACAATATTTTGGACCAATCACATTCCAGTGTGTACCTGGAAACGCCTATTTGTGGTGAGGTGGAGAGGTGGGTAGTAACCAGCTGGCCAATCCTGTCAGCCACTGCTGCGAGGGAGAAGGAGGATGGTCCCACCTCCTCGCTGCACGTTCGCAGAGCATGCTGGCTCTTCGCGGGTTGAGGTTTTGACAACATGACAATGGCACAGGGCCGGAATAAGCACACACTTCCTCGACCTCTGCATTGCAGACCTCCAGAAAGCGTGTGCCCCGTTGGGAATGGTCTGCACTCGGCTGTTTCATTGGCTCAGCCGTGTGGTTCCCTCTAGGCCCCTTCCTGCACCGTGTCCTCCTTGGTACAGGGCGGAAAGAAGAACTTTGGTTGTAGTGCTGTTTGAAGATCGAATGAGATGGGGAAGCATGTAAACTCCCTGTAACGAAATTGAGCACAGAGAACCTCTGCATTTCTCATCCTCGCAGGCGTCTTCAAACTACGGCCCGCGGGCCACATGCGGCCCGCAGAGGAGTCTGATCCGGCCCACCAGGTTTTTTGGGCAGTGAGCGCAGCCGAGGTGTTACAGTAGGAATTAGTAGTTCATATAGTCCGGCCCTCCAGCTCTCTGAGGGACCGTGATCTGGCCGCCACTTTAAAAAGTTTGAGGACCCCTGCTAAAGGTAGGTAGTGGAATTATTTTGCAGAGGAACTAGGAAACAATGAAATGCTACTGACGTTCAGGTAGTAAAGCTTTCGTTAGCCTTGAGAAATGATTATGATGCTGTTTGTATTTAAGCACGTAGGAAGAATTATTTCCTACTGATACTTGTTTTATTTTAATAGGTACCAACAGATGCTGCACACGAACTTGGTCTACCTGGCTACGATAGCAGACTCGAACCAAAACATGCAGTCTCTGCTGCCAGCAGTGAGTACCTCCAGGCAGGGCACGGGGTCTGTGCAGGCCTATGTGTGTGTCAGTTTTGTTTAGTGATTTTTGAGGTTTGTTTAAATCCGGTCCCTGCCCCTCAGAACATGAAACTGTTTACCTAGCGCAGTGGTCGGCAAACTCAAGAGCCAACAGAGCCAAATATCGATTGACATTTCTTTGGAGAGCCACATTTTTTAAACTTGAACTTCTAACACCACTTCTTCAACATAGACTCACTCAGGCCATGGTATTGTGTGGAAGAGCCACACTCAAGGGGCCAAAGAGTTTCATGTGACTCTTGAGCCTCAGTTTGCCCACCATTGACCGAGATATGTAAAAGGTTGAATATTTTGCCTTAGTATTTGATTTAATTCACCTAGAATTGATCCTTCCCTGAGGAAGTCCTATTCATCCACCCATTCACCCATTCACCAGCCCATCTACCTATTTTGTTATTCATTTTAATATGTAATTGCACAACTAATTTATGAATAAATCTGTAGCAAATGCCAGATATCTTATAAGTTTACTTATTAATACTTCAGTAAGCCTCTTTATCAGATAAGACTATTACCCCACTCAACAAGAGTAACTGACGTTTCTTACTGCCTTGTGATACCCAGACTGTCCACGATTTTCACCAGTTGTTTAGAAAATCCACCGATGTCTCATAATTGTTCGCCACAGAACCCAAACAAAGCCCACACGTGGCATTGACTGCTGTGTCTTGGGTCTCCCTCCATCGGTTCAGGGGTCTTCTAGTCGCCATGTATTTGGAGAACAAATGGGGCCATGCGTTTGTAGAATCCTCACATCTGGACTCGGCCGATTCTGCCTTCATGGTCCTGTAACACGCTGTGTCCGTCGCCTCTTCTTTCCTAGAAGCTAACAGCTGCGTGAGAGGTGGGCTTGGTTCTGTGGTCCATTGGTGCTGTGGACTGCCTGCCTCAGGAGGACGTGTTGGCTGGCTGTTCTGTTTTTGGCGATGGGAAGTCTAAACTTAGAGTTCTGTGTTTTTCATGTGTTTAAATCTGTGGCAGGCCTTCTCTGGTCCTCGGGGGTGGCGTCTGTGGTGGTGGGAGCCCTCCGTGGCTCCTGTGTCCGCCTGCGGCGATTGCAGGACCTTGTGGCCACTCCGCTTTGAGGATTTGAGGGCGGTCAGATGGATCACATGTTTGTCCCAGAACTGTTCTGCCCACTGTTTTCCGAGCCTTCCTTTTCCAGTGGGAATTGACACTAGAGACCACGATTTGAATGTTTGGGGCATTCATCGTTACTGCGGTTTCATTGTCTCTTAGGTGTTTTCAGTGGACAGAACCAGGAAACACATTGTTTTAGAAAAAAATCAAGTATTGGATTAGTGATATTTCCCCTTCGGGGAAGGTTTTTTACTTAGTTTCTCTTCTGTCTTACTCTAAAAATCTCCGTACCTATGACATTACTGTAGTTGTTTATTTGCTACATACCACTACCAGTAAAATAGGATTTTATTTATGTATTTTAAAAGAGTTTAAAATTTTTATTTTTATTTTTTAATGTATTTTATTGATTTTTTACAGAGAGGAAGGGAGAGAGAGAGCTAGACACATCGATGAGAGAGAAACATTGACCAGCTGCCTTCTGCACGTCCCCCACTGGGGATGTGCCCTCAACCAAGGTACATGCCCTTGACCGGAGTCGAACCTGGGACCTTTCAGTCCACAGACTGATGCTCTATCCACTGAGCCAAACCGGCTTTGGATAAAATATGATTTTAATAGAACACTACCAGGTTTACCACTAGCAATAAGATGCTTCTCTTAAGATGTAGCCTACTCAGGATGTATAATTAGTAAATTTTGTTTTGAATCTGAAATAAGTCTTTGTGTGATGATTGACATGAATTTGGTTACCAGCTGAGTAGAATTTATTTTTGTTAATAATTGTGTGAGGAATAGGTTCTATTTTACTTGTTTCCACATGGAAAGTTCTCTGTCACAGCATTCTCTCTTGGACACCAGAGCATCCTGCCTTTGTTTGCCATGCCATCTAGATCGTGACTACCAGGCGGCCATATACATCTGTCGATTGTTTCATTGATCTGTTTTTATAAATTCCGCAGTCTTGCCACACTTGGCATAGTCTCGGAAGTCTGAATGTATTAGAGAAATTTACTAATTCCTTGTTTTTTTCAGAATAACTTGACTATTAGTGCTTTGCGCTTCGATGTACACTTAAATTTCAGCGTGTCAGCATACTCCTCAAATGACCTTGACATTCCCTTGCCTCAGTCAGGTGGGGAGAATTGACACTTTTACAATAGCGAGTCTTTCAAATCATGAGGATGGTCTGTATTTTCATTTATTTAGTCCTTTAATATCCAGTGAAGTTTTATGATTTTCCTGCAGAGGATTTGCGCATCTCTCTCAGGTACTTCATTTTTTTTCCGAGGCAAGTAGAGTCTTTGCGTTTTAAGTTTTATTTCCTCTGATTGTTATTTACATGGAAATGCAGTTGAATTTCACAGTCTTGTTCAATCCTTTCTAATAATTGTTCTGTCGATACTTTCAGTTTTCTATATTCACCACCATATTATTTATGAATAATTGGTTTTGCTTCTTCTAATTCTTACACCTTTTATTTCTCTCTCTCTCTCCTTACTTCCCTGGCTAGGACCTCCGTACCTTCTGAGTAGTCTGGTGAGAGAGGACATCCTGACTGTGGCTGCCCACCAGGGAAGCTTTCCCTGTCTGACAGGAAGTGCGATGCTTGCTGTAGTGCTCCCAGATAATGTTTCCTCATCTAAGGAATCATTCCCCTTTGGTTTCTGTTGTGTTCAGATTTAATATCTTGAATGAATGTTAAATTTTGTAGGAATACTTTCTATTGCATCTAAGGAGATCACAAGTTTTTCTTAATCTGTTAATGTGGTGACTACATTAATTTACGTTATAATGGTCAGTCAATCTTGATTTCTTGTAATTAACATACTTTTTCTCTGGTCTTGGTCTTAAAAAATTGTATCATTCAGTTAATTAACATTTTGATCATGATTTTTATGTCTTTGTTCATGAGTGCAATTGGTGCTTAATTTTTTTTTCTTGAAAAGCGTTGTCTGGTCTTTATTGTGAGCTGTGCTGGCTTCATAAACTGAGTGTAGTATTTCCCTTATTTTCTTAGTCTGGAGTGATTTGCATAATGGAGCTGTGGGTTCCCAGGGGTCTTCAGTTCTGTAGAGGAGCCTCCTGGGCGACAAGACTTTACTTCATTTCCGTCGTTGTCATGGGGTCATTGGTGTATCCTGTGTTTATAAATTGCCTATTTTTATAAATTGTGCTTTTGAACATTTTATCTAACTTTTCAAATTTGTTGGCATAAAGTTTACGAAGTAATGTGATTATTTAATATTCTCAGAATATATAGCGATTTTTTGTTTTAACATAGTTTATTTTTATGTTTTCTTTTAAAGTATATTTTTTATCCCTTTTTCCTGGTGTTTATCACATTTCTTTAAAGTCTTTTTAGAGAATCTTTTCGGTTTTAATATTTCTCTGTTGCAGCATTTCTCAGAACTTTTTGTTTTCAAAACCCCTTTACATTTAAAAATTATTGAGGATAGCCGAAACCGGTTTGGCTCATTGGCTAGAGCGTTGGCCTGCAGACTGAAAGGTCCCAGGTTCGATTCTGGTCAAGGGCATGTACCTTGGTTGTGGGCACATCCCCAGTAGGGGGTGTGCAAGAGGCAGCAGGTTGATGTTGTTTCTCTCTCGTCAATGTTTCTAACTCTCTATCCTCTCTTCCTCTCTGTAAAAAATCAATAAAAATATATTTAAAAAAAAATTATTGAGGATAACAGCTTTACATACTAAATAGATATATTGAGATATTTGTTGAAAAGGTATTTATTCACTTAAAATGAACAATAAAAAAAGAACAATAAACTTACTGCATGTTAATATAAAATTCTTTAAAGGAAAAATTAACTATATCTTGTGAACAAATGAAGTGAAATATGAATGACATTTATAGTAAGCTTGCAGATTTCCTTTAAATGCTTGGCTAAATAGAAAACAGCTGTACTGGCTGCTCCTCTGGGTTTAATCTAGGTTAACACGCTTCAGTTGCGGTAGAGTAAGATCTGGGCTGGCCCAGATGGAGGTAGGAAAGGGAAGAATGTTTTACTAACCTTTTCAGATGGTTGTGAATAATCTGATAGCATAGCAGATCCTAACAGAGGTGTTTTTTAAGGTTATTGAAGTATGAAATCTGAAATCATGTTCTTACTGAGACTTTAGAGTTCATTGGTCCGTCCTGCATTTTGGATGGGTCTTGTACTCACGCGTGATTTTGTAACATCATGCTTTGGTCATTCAGAAAATGGAAGTTCACTGAGTATGCACTTCTTCTAAACATTGACATATTTTAGTCTATGATACCCCAAAACCACGTTTGGTAAATCACTGAGTTACCGCTGTCTCGTCAGCAAAGTCTCTAGTGTCAGGATACGTGAAACTCAAGAGCGTAGCTATTATAGTAAGTTTGCCAAATTCCCAGTTCTTTCTTGAAAAGTCAAATCTGCTCATTGGCTGCAGATGCTGTAAAGGTGCTCGGCAAACTGCAGCTCTTTGGCCCCTTGAGTGTGGCTCTTCCACAAAGCACCACGTGCGGGCGCCCACGTACAGTGCGATTGGAACTTCCTGGCCTATGCGCAGAATTTGGTTTTCGGCTCTCAAAAGAAATTTCAGTCGTCATACTGTGGATATTTGGCTCTGTTGGTTAATGAGTTTGCCGACCACGGACCTAGGTCAGCAGGCAGCGGCGCAGTGTGCTCTCACCCCGCTCTGATGTGCAACATGTGATTGTTACTGTCTCGTTCGTCACACAGAATGTTTGATTGACATGGAGCACTTAATAAGTGAGTAATCTTACTGCTTCACCAAGGATATTCTTAGTAGAAATGACCTCTTCTCTTTTAACTGCTGCCTGTGGCCATCAGTAATACAGTGATTTCCAGTCAC